TATAACATTTTACTACCAAATGAAAATTAATTTCAAATTATAGTACCTACGTATTATAGTAAACTTTTGTGCAGTATATGTGTGATATATGTATGACTATTGTGACTATTACAATAGTTATTAACAGTAATTTTTTGGTATTGAATCAAACTATAATTATAATTAAAATGTTCCTGTTGCTCATTCGAGTGAATAAATAAAAATACAAATTCTAAATTTAATTTAATATTTATTTAATAAATATATTTAAACAGTGCCGGATTAAACATTTACACAGATTTAAAGTATAAAAATGAGGAACAAGCTAATTTACGTCGACTTATATTTGGAATTATTGATTCATTAATTGTTCAAATAAATATTAGATTTAAAGATTTTGAAAAACTAGAGTTTGTTGAAATAATAAATGAAAAAATTTTTGCACCATATAAAGTTAATTTTCCAGAAGAAAAATTAAGACAACTTTTTAAATACTATCCAGATATTTTTGATAAAGATCGTCTAAAAAATGAGCTTTACATAATATATGTAGATTCATTGAAATATTTCGCTTTTTTGGAATTTATTGATTATATATTTAAAAGTAAGAACCTGAAACATTTTTTAAATATTTTTACTAATTTTTTAAATAAATTATAATTATGAATATTATTTTAGATGAGCTTAAAGAAGTATATCAAGAAGTCACGAAATGTATTCAATTAGTATTAACTATTCCTGCAACAACAGCCTCAAGTGAAAGATCCATGAGAACTTTAAAACATATCAAATCTTTTTTAATAAATTCAATGACAAATGATAGTCTTTCATTTTTGTCTACTTTAGCTATTGAAAAAAAAAATTAGGTGAATTATCAAAAGATCCAACATTTATAAACAGATGTGTTCGCAACAAAACAAAATCGGCGAATCAATTTAAATTATATTTAAATCTAGTTATTTTATGTAATTTACTTTTTTTTATGATGATCTAATTTTTAAATAAATTTTATATAACACTATATCTTTGGTTGTCTTGTTGTCTACCCTATAAAATTGATCACGCGCCGCCACTGGTCAACAGCCAGTCAAAGATTTAAACCTATTTTCTTGAAATTATAAAACAATTTATTATATGTATGATCGACGAGGACTTGAATAATTACATTAGGACATTTTGCAGTTCTACTAATGACTAGTAGTAATATTGAAATAATGCTATCGTCTAAGAGTATTGATATTGTAATACCAATATTATTATTTTTTATTCTATGAGTTTGCGTAATTAAAGAAAATGAAAAAAAATGAGTGAGTAATGTAATGAAGTCTGAGAGGTACTTAGAATTGCAACTGACTGCATTATAGCTACAATCTTATCTCACAAATTGTTTGTTGATTAGATAAGACCTCAAAAAAATAAGTATGTAGTAAAATGTAGTTTTAGTAGTTATAGAAGTATAGTCGTATAGATATTTAAGTCCTAGGTAGAGTATCATTGAGTTAATTGTACATTTACATTTATTATTATGTATTACACCTATATTAAAGTTTTTTAGTTTATATAATTATTTTAAAGGTCAAATTGGTTGGAATCAATATTAAATAAACTATCTATTATTTAACTAATATGGTATTTTACCACTAATCTATTTTGTAGCATAACGGTGTGAGACTGTTCGTCCGAGTAATAGGTATCTATGATATCACAACTAAAGCTTACATTTTAAGGAGCTATAAATACTAAGATATCACTGACCTACAAGATCTAGTCCCTACACTCCTATTTACTATTTTACACACAGCCAACATTTGTCTCTACTTCCTACTATAGGTTCAGCTCATATTTTAAGAAGAACAGAGGCGGATCTTTTTTATATATAGGCTATAGGCATCAACAATTTGTCTCCCTTATAATATATGAAGAAGTTATATTACACCTTCCAAAATACATAATCTAAATAGGTATTAAATATATAAACATAGGTAACTACATTGAATTTTTAGACTATTTTTTAGGCTCTTATTAATTAGTCTACTTTGAAAAAATGTCAATGGATGTCCACTAAATTTTAATAAAAACAGATTTTCATAATAACAACATAGGATTAATAATATATGAGTACAATCGAATTAGTAATACAGTGTAGCAGTGTGGGTATTTATTTTTCCTCGAAATTCTGACGACAAAATATTAATAAAATCCACACATTATTATACCAATTATTTTTCATAAATATTAACTAATTAATTTTCCAATATTTTTTCATACGTTCGATGTTTTTAATAAAATATTACAGAATTTGCCGCCTCCAAATTTTACCGCCCTAGGTAGCTGCCTACAGTGCCTAATGGGAAATCCACCTCTGAACAAGAAGATGAAAAAGTACAATTTTGAGAACCAAATAATGATTTTGGATATTCCCAAGTAAAGTGAGAGACATAATACTCTAAATAACAAAAATTTTCAAACTTAATAGTTACTTTGAGCATTTAAATTATAGACATAGGTAGTTAGATTTTATATTTAATTTTAAACACAAAGTTATTTGATTAAGTATTTTTAATCTAGGAGGGTTATGAAAGTATTTAGGGGTAATAAGCCTCCCTACCTCGAACCCCATTAGTTACGCCTATGATGGGTATACTTTAGCAGGTTAAAAACCTATAGAATCAAAAATTATAACTGACCTATAAAATGAAATGCATACTAAACTTAGTGCAGGTTTCTATAATTGATATGTACTAACGGTAAAATAGTGTTCTAGATTATAAATATTTATTTCCACAAATTCAAAATATATGAATAATTGAAGAATTATCGCATTTAAATCTCGATTATGAGCTTGAACGAAGGTCGATGTAATAAAATAATGTTAATTTAGTATCTATTATATAAATCATATATACTTAGAAACACAATAAATATTATTACCTACGTAATAAAAAAATTATGTAATATACTTATATACTTGTATTCAATGAACAAATTTTAACATTCAGGGTAGATAACTTAGTAATTATTTTACTTAATAACAACACATTAATAAAAAAAAATGTAGGTATACATTTATAGATTTTGAGTTTTCAACGTTTATATTAAAGAAACATGATACCTAGTGAAGTTGTTAAATTTAAAATAAATCATCATAATTGGTAAAAGGACCAAATGCTAAAAAAAAACTTTATTTGAAATAATTAATTTTCATTGCGATCATTAAATTCAATACTGTAATTATACCTACATTTGATTTTATATCATGTGAATGTACATGTTTTTAAAAATTATTGGATTTAATCCTTCTACACATCTTTGCGTTTCACAAATACTATCACTGCAGATTTTAATAGTTACATTATTCAGGGTCTAATTAGATAAATACTGAATTTCGGTTAAATTCGATTATGTATCCTTAATTAATCAAACCACAATTTTAAATCTAAATATAGATTCATCTGTAATTACTACACCTACACAAATAAGCGTAGACTGAGGGGGGCGTAATTTCCCCCTCTAATACATTAGAAGGGGCAGTGCCCTCTCTGATATCGGGTTTGGTAAATTGAGTCCTATTCATATAAAAATTAAAGCAGTAATTTGAAATATGGTGAAATATTGTTTTTATTTAATTAACACACTTTTAATTATATTAACACAATTGTATACTGCATACCTACATTAAACTTATATTTATCAGTTATCACATATCACATATCACATCCAGCGTTGTTGTAGATAGTTGGATATTTATAAAAATGTTGCATAATAATACGGAGCGAAATACAATAATATTTAACGATGTAGCGATAAGATACACTTACCTATCGTATTCGGTGAATTTATAACTATATCAATGATTATATTTATAATTTAAATACATTTAAATAAATTTAATACAATAAATATTTTAGACAAGACTCATTTTGCCACTTTAACTGTTATAAGACTCAGTTTACCTCTTTAAATTTTAAACGTGGGACTCAGTTTACCTCTTTAAATTTTAAACGTGGGACTCAGTTTACCTATTTCGAAAAAAGATAAATTCGTTTAAGACTCAATTTACCTACGCCCTTTAACATACCTTGTTTTAAAATAAGTACAAAACAGCTGGTTATACCTATTACTATAAATTTTTTTTTTAAATCTTAATTTTAAATGTTCGCTTATCTAACATATAATGTTAGAAAACGAATAATTTTATATAATAATATGTAGGTAGTAAAGCGGCAATTAGCCTCGGACACCCTTTTCGTTATATACTTATGTAATTATATTTTTGTCCCCCCTCATAATTTTCCAAGTTATGCCTTTGCTTACATAAGAGCACAGGACCCAAAACTTATTTTCGGTTCATCATAAATTTGAGCATTATACGTAATTTGTTCAGATGATCAGATTATAGCTATATTTATAAGTATTTGGTAATGGTGCTGAATATTTTTCATTCCAAGCTTATAATGTACAACCGTTGGCAACCACTGTGTAATAATTATAAATGTTTTGTGACAGTCTTTTTTCAAGACCAATTATGTCTCCCATTTTAAATTGGTATATTGCGCTTTTTCACCGTCATTGTAATTATAAATCAAATATTTAATTTATGTTAAAACTGATAAATCAGTTACAATTTGTCAAGACAAAAAGAGCAAAAAGACTTGCCTGATCTAGTCATAAATAACATATTAATGACTAAGGGAAGTGACCTTGTTATGCATTGAATCGTTTTATCTACCTACTTATTACTTTCTTATTGCGTATTGTTTGTATAATTCAGTAAATTGTATTTATAATTATTTGAACACTTAGTAGTTAAACTAATTATTTATTCAATATAATTATTCATTCCAGACAACCTCTACAACTTCTACTGTAAGCATAATCACAGATGATATTTAAAATCTTTTGGATAATTTGTTTATTTGCAATTGTTGCCTGTTGAGATAACGTTTATTCTCCATACAGATAAGCAATAACCGATAACAAGTAACATTATTACCACCCTATCAATGCACTATTATTTTGAGATTTAACGTAGAACCAATAATTCTTTTAAAATGTTGACCTTATAGGTAATTTCGTCTCAAACTCTGTTATATACAATTTGAGTGTCGAACATCATTAATCAAATATTTATTTACATATTAGTATATCATTAAGTAGAACAATGTTTTCAAACTTATTGTCTGTGGATAAAAATCAGGTAATATTTTTATATTAAAAATATTAAAAATTGCATTCAATTAATATTTAAAATATTATTAAGAACTAATGAGGAAATCATTTTTAAAATGTTCCATATCGATTACTCTAATTTAATGAATTAAAATAATTTATGTACTTGAATGATAATTATAAAACTATATTTGTTTTTATTGTGTGATTGAAGTAGGAACGTCATACTTACTTAATTGTATATACTACTTATAGAAATAAGATTAATATGTATTATTTGATATCGTCTAATAAGTATGTCTATTTATTCTTAGGTAAAAACATTGAACCCATTAGATGTTGATATAACAAATATAATTATTTTTCTTGTTGTAGATGAATAGCAGGTTAAAGATGATCAGATGTAAAATACAAAGTCTAATGTTATTAACAGTTGTTTTTACTTTCAATTGCTTATTTAATAACAAATAATTTAAGTTAATTTAATATTTTAATTCATATATTTCATATTTAAAGTCCTTTACATAATTTTGAGGAAATGCATTGACATATAAATTAGCCAAGGTGTTTTATTGGCTCTTTGAACTTTAAAATGTGTTTTTATTAAAATTATCAAAAAATATTTTATCTAATTCAATGTCCTTTTAAAATTTAGCACCAATCATATCTATTTTTTTTTAAAATATTTTAAATAAAAATAATTAGATTAACATTTCACATGAGTATTAATATGGTTTTGACCTTCATAAATATTTCTATAATATTTTACTATTCTTGTATTTTCTAATTTATTTTAATAAATTTTGAATTAACTAAAAGAGTATTGAGTAAATATTTATTTGTTTAATAAATTAACGACTTAAACTGTATTGTTATGAAATTCTAGAAGAATAAACTTTTTAAACTTGGAAAGTTATAAATATTTATTAATATTAAGTTTAATTTTATTAAATTAATTTAAGTTGACCTTAAATAAATCTTAATATTTTTGTATGTTACAAAATGTATTATATTTTATTATAATGGTTTAATATCAAATTTGATATATTATTTTTTAATCAATGTTAGTTTAATTTTTTAGATTTAATTTTAAAGATGGAACAAGATTTTTATTATTTATTTCTTAATATTCCTTATGATTTTACAATTTTAAATGTTCTTATATATTTCTTTATTATTGTATTAGCTCACAGTAGTATCTAATAATTCTAATAACATAACATCTCTAAAGTAAATTGAAAAATATAAAAGATATTTAACTACTTACATTATGTACAACTGTACAATATGATTATATATCTATTTTAATTAATTTATAACAATTCATTAAAATGTCAGACTATCATCGCATGCACAAGTATCAATTGAAACTCATATCCTTAGTGACATACTTCTTATTCATTTTAATATTATACTATTTTCTTTTAATTACAAATATATATATATAAATATATGATGATAATGCATTAACATGTAAAATGTATTTATGGATTTTATTTATTAAATTGGGTTTATATGTGTGTAAGTTGTATGTATAAATTCAGAATTGTATTGAGTATATCTGTATATATATCTCAATTAATATATTAATAAAGGTTTACATATACATATAATTCTAGTCTTTAATTAGCCTTAGGTATCTGGAATATAAATCATTTTTTTTTTTATTTAAACTTATATTATTTTACATATTATATATGTATTTTATGTAAATTAGTTAATTTTTTAACTGGGATTCAAATTAAAAGGAACTTGGTTGTATTTTTAAAAAAATAAAAATATAAAATAACTTTATATATTTTAACCATTTCAGTTTTATAGTAATTAGTTAATAAGTAACTAATAATGTCAATGGATTTAAATTTTCTATTGTTATTTGGTGTTGACTAAAGAAACCTATCTCCTAAATCTCTTTATTATTCTTCATACAGGACCGACGAGAGGATAGGGCAGGAAGGGTAAGAGCCCCGGTGACCTTACGTCCGAGCCTTTTATACAATATTTTTATTGAACTTAAATATGCACAAGTAGTATGTATATCATAGTCAAACAAGTACAAGTAAAGGGAGCCCAGGGGCCCTCAAAAGTTCTCGCCGACCCTGTCTGCATATGATAGTTAGTCGAATCATAATAGTTAATGAGTTATGATACTATTGATATTTGTCTCTAAATTTATCCATGAAATTTATTATTATTAAAATTGACTATTCTAAAAATTTAGCTGCAAGATATATAGAGATTACACCCAAAATTCATAGGTATACTGGGTTTAATAATCTAGACTTACATAAACCATATATCGTTTAATTAAATTGACTATGGGTAGGACAATCTCTATTACCCAGTCACTCTTTTAAACTTGATCTAAAAGATTTCCCACTTTGTAGACTTCATTGTAATAAATGCATCAGCGATCTTCTCCACATTTTATTTATGTGCCCTACTCTTTAGTCCAAACCCCTAGTTCAAATTGACTCTATTAGATCTCTCAATACTTTTAATTTCCAATCCATTCTCAACATTAATTGCACTCTCACCATTAAAATTATTGTTGATTTTATTTTGGATGCTGGTTTTATTATATAGTTTATTTATGCTTTAATTAATCTTTTGTTTTTTTGTATCTGTAATTGTTGAGCTATATTAGTTATAGCTTGGAGCTTTCTTAAAAAATTAAAAAAAAATTGAAGATTTCAATTTATAATAAGATGTTTTATTGTTGTATTTTTTCATTTTATTTTTGAATAGTTTTAAGTGACAATAAAGCTAGTAAATTATTTAGTAAACTATTATTTTTAAAATAATAATTATCTTATAAGATAAGATAACAAATAATAATTTTATATTTTAGCATATTTATACTTGAATACATTTTAATTTTTTACTTTATTTCAACAGTACATTTAAATAAACATAAAATTATAATATTATTAAAATAATTAACATTATTAAAATAATGTTCAACCCATAATAAGTTACAAATTGAATTCAAATAATAATAATATACAATAAAAATTATACTAAAAATTTGAATAATAATAATAATTAAATATGAAAACAAACAACATCAATTATTTTTTATTTGATAAAATAAAATTTGATTTGAGTTGTATTTAATGATTATATTTTATTTATAAGTAAATAATATATAAACAATTTTGTATTAATTTTTTAGAATTATCCCATTTCAACAATAATTATATACGTATATTATATATATTCAGTATTTGGAAAGAACATCATTCATGAATGTATGTTTATGCGTTCACATTCATATTTTGTGTATAACAAGCTAACGTCAGTCTCTTTTTTTCAAATAAAACATGAACGTGAGCGATGATATATTTTTAATCCTGGTCTCAACCCCTCCAGAAGAAAAAATGGGTTCTAAGTCATAAATGACTTGCTACGTGGGTACAGAGAAAGAGAACATTAATTTTTATTCTGTAGTTTTAATAATTCTACATTTGTATTTATAATAATAGAATAACAGAATTAAAATTAGAATTAAATTAATTCATACTTTAGGTATATGTATTTTTATAATACTATAAAATCACTTATTTTTAAAAAAAATCCTCCACAAAAATTATTTAAAATACGCTGCTACATATACTATTAAAACCATTCATTGTAATTATTTCATTAGTTAAATTTGTTCAAACATATTACATTCTCTGGATTAACTATCTTTAAATAATTGATCAGTTATTAAATTAACAACTAAGTTATCTTAAGTTTTAAAATATTTAAATTGAAGTATTATCTTCTCCTATTCTCCTGTTAGGGTATTTCCTTAAGAATTAATATATTTTTCTAAAAATATTCGTAATGATAAAGTTTCTGATTATTTTAATTATTAAATTTATTAAAATGCTAAATTTTATTTTATTTCCAAATTACTTTCAATAATTGATACAACAAAATCATGTTTTTTATTTTGTAGAAATAACTTTGTATATTTAAATTTTAAGTGTTAGTCACGCATAAATTTAATTATACATTGTTATATAATTATTTTGTTATATTATATATTATTATGTTATACAATTCTATATTGTACCTGACATGATAAAAATATATATTATATATTTAATATATAAATAATATATTTTATTATTAATTATAATATCTTAATGAAAAGATTATAAAACGTAATTTTTGTGTATTTACTTCCTGACAAAATAAACATTCTAATTATGTTATTGTTAAAATCACAAAAATTATCTACATATGTTTTTCAATAGGTTTTTTTCTGACATATTTAGGAATTTATGACCTTTAGACTATGAAAGTACAGTATAATACCAAACATGGTACAAAATATAGGCACTGATCAGTGGTATAGATTCTATGTTATAGAGCAATGGTTTTGAAAGAGATTAAAATTTAGAATATAACAAAATCAGAATATATTCTGATTAAATATAAATATAAATATTAATATAAATATAATTCATAAATATAAATGAAAAATTATGAACGGATTACTCAAGTTTAGGCATTAGTGATTTTTTTCTCGTCACATTCTTAATACTATTCTGATTAAAAGTTGTGCAATAATGTTAATTTGTAGTTTTATGCAATATTAATATAAGTTTTTTTGAAGACCACAAATACCATTTATTCTCAAAATTATATTATTACAAACACTGGTTCTACCTAACATAATTTATAAGAACCAATTAATATCTTAGATTTTAATAATTTATTTATTAATTATAATGACATATCATACTAAAATATATTATATAATATTAATTTATAAATGTTAATTAGCTTAAAAAATATTGAAGTTTTATAATTTGCTATGTTAAACAAATAAAATTCTATAATAGTCAATAAAATATACTCTTTTATGTTAATAATTTAAAAAACACTATTGCATTTAATTAGTTTATATAGTTAATTTATTGAAGTTTAAAGAGATTATCTGTCAGTTGTAGTAGTTAACTAATATAATTTGTTACCTACTTATGTTTACAAACCATAATATATAAACAGTTAGTCGTTGAAAAAACAGGTAATTTAACCTTGAATATTAAATATGTCAATTTAATAAATTAAAAACCAACAATAATACGTAATTTCTTACAAGGGGTTATTACAATTTTTTTATTTTCGTATTTCCGTATTTTTTTTTTTTTTTTATCAAGGCTTTGAAATTATTTTTAGATGTTTTGATTTGGATTTCGCAGATAATTATGTATTATAATTTTGTTATAATAGTTTGAATTTGTTAATCTATGAAAAAAAAATCAATGTAGGTATGTTATTAATTCATATACATTGTTTTGTAAACGGCTGTTGAAGTATTTTAAATTTATCATATTAATACAATATATATTTATGTATATAATACTTATTAATTAATTTTAATATATCTAAGAACATATACATAATAAATATGAGGACAAATAAAAAATGTTTAGTTTGATTATTTTAATTTAAATAATTTTTTTCCTTATATAATATTTTAAACTATGAACTATTAAGTTATTAAAATAGGAATTACGTATCGTAGCAATTCATTTATAAATAATTTAATTAAATAAACTTAATTTCGAAGTAATCTTTGTTGTTTGTTGATTATTGATTTAAAACGTTTTTAATTTTTTGTTGTTGAAATACAAAATAACCTTTACCATAACCAAAATAATGACGGAGTTAAAAAAACAATTTGAATTTGGTTCGTATGATTTTAAATATTTTAATACGAAACAGGTAAATATTATAAACAATTATTTTTAATAACTGCTTTTGAATTAATAATATTTTTTTTTGTTCAAATTTAAGTTCATTGTATTCTTAAAACGTAGACAGCTATTTTTATTCTATTTTCATTGAGCCTAAACCTAATTAAAATCAAAATCTATGCTACAGCAAGTGTTATTATATGTGTAATTTTATGAAAAAGCATAATTTTATTTATGTAATTTATCGTTAGCAATGAATTAGTAGTAGTAGATTGAATAAATCGGTAAATTAGTAGTAAAGAAAGCATATACATTTAATGACCGTATTATCGTTTAAAAATTACGGAAAGGAAAAACTTATGAATATTGAGCTTTCAACTACACAGTACAATTGTGTTTTGTAGATTAGATAAAGGCCGTAGAAATACTATATGTGTTAGTTGTATAAAAACTGGTTTTATGAGTGAGGGAAGGCCAGTTTATGTTATGTTCATTGTGACGGATGTTCGTTGGTCGTTGTATTAGTAAAGTGAAATACGTTTTGTAAAATTCTATTAGGAAATATGGTCGAGGAAACGAATATGGGATACTCGGGAATTAATATTTCCACTAATGTATCTAAGGTAATTCCTATTATATATTTTTGCACATGTGTATAATTATTGTATGTATGGTTTTTTTGGTAGATAAAAATAAAAATTAAATTTGTTACAAAACCTATTTACGAGTTGTAAACTATAGGAAATGTGATAAAAGTATCATAGCTTTTTATTTTCAGTTCATCCGATACATTATAGTTATATGTATCATTGGTTATTCTTAGTCAATATTAAAATGTTCTAAAATTATTTTTATATTTTTAGATGACACTCAACAAATATTAATAATATTCTTAATATGTACCTATTGATTTTTTGAAAATTAAACAAATTAAAGTGCAAAATTAAAAGTTGTTTATTGAAACTAAATACCTACTAAAAAATTGATTATCTAATTGTGGGGAAATCTTTCAATATACTAATAATAATAATTCCAATAACTATTAATTTCAAATTATATTTTTCATTCCTATTTAATGTAAATTATTTTAATGAAAAATGAAAAATAAATATTTTAATACGTAGGTGAAAATTATTAATAAATATCAATCATAAGCATTTTTAAGGTGTAGTGATGGGTTCTAGGGTTGTATTTTTGATTTTTGAAAATTATCTTTAAAAAAAAATAAACTGTGAGAAGAGGTTGACAAATTAAGTTTTATTTTTTAATTGTTATTTGTTGGTTTTTATTTTATGTTAGGTTTTAAATGTGCATGTTTTCAATATATTATAATGAATCTATAGTTTTGCTACATAAGTTTTAACTATAAATATATTTTTTAAGAAATTATGATAATTAATATTTTATAGTAGTCATTACATAATTATTATAATATTACTTGATTTATTTCAATAATTATTTATGTAACATAGTACTTTCTAATTTAAATTTATATTTTAGCCAAAAGGACATACTCGTGTTCCTTCTAGCACAGACTTGAAAGAATTCAAGGAACTTACTCAACGTGATTCATTGGTGCAATTAGAAAAAGAAATTGTGTCCTTACTTAAGACTACACCTGAGGATAAAAAAGAGTTAGCCAAATCTCAATTTACAGCATTTTCACGTTTATTCCAGCGATTTTTGGAAGAATCTGGCCCATCAGTTGATTGGGATAAAATCGAAAAATTACCGGCTGATGCTGTAAGTATATATAATGTAATAGATTTTTAATATTTTTATCATATTATATTAACCTTACTTTGACCTACTGATAATTTTTTGTATGATTATCTAAAGTTATTTTTTGATAAGTTTTTTTAATTTACCTATAACAGAGTCTTCTAGAGGATTTATTTTATTATAAACTATTTTAATTCATAAATTTTTTTTATAGTTCAAATATATCTTATATTACTTTTGTATTATAAATTTTGAAATATTTAATCAATAAGTTATGCATATATATTTAAAAATATTTTGAATTATTTTAAGATAAAACGATCTCATTTTATTATTTTGCCATTTACTGTTTATAGATTATAAGATTTACAATTTCATTGATTACTTTGCTATATTTATTATTAGTTATAAACCATTATACCACAATTTATAGCTTTTAATTTGCTCTGGAATAACATCAATTCATGAGATTATTTTAACACTTGTAGGTAATGGTAATATGTTAAAATAGCTTAATTAATAATTATTAAAAAAAAAAAAAAAAATTGAAAAAAAAAAAACTATAAATATTTTGAAAAACTAAAATATTATACTAAATACATATGATATAATTTGTATGATATATATATGTGTATATAATTGGGAAGTTTTTTGTTTAAATTTTTTGAAAAAGTACAAACATATGCTTAAATATTAAATAACCTATTACTTTATCTTAAATATTGTATACTTGTTGTAATCTAGATCAGAGATTATGATACACTATCCAAACCAAGTCCTGATGCTATTCATAAAAAACTTGAAAAATTGGTGGTGGTTAAGCTTAATGGAGGTCTTGGTACATCTATGGGGTGTCGTGGTCCAAAATCAGTAATACAAGTTAGAAATGATCTTACTTTCCTCGACTTAACAGTACAACAAATTGAAGTAAATATGATAGTAAAAATATTATTTGTGTTATAAAATTATTAACTTGTTTGTTTTCAAACAGCATTTAAATAAAAAATATAGTGTAAATGTGCCATTGGTTCTAATGAACTCATTTAATACTGACAAAGATACTGAACAAATTATTCGAAAGTACAAAGGACTTCAAGTAGAGATATACACTTTTAACCAAAGCTGTTTTCCACGAGTTTCTAAAGAGTCGTTGTTACCAATTGCACAAAATTGTGATATTGAAGGCAACATTGAAGCGTTAGTTTAAAAATACAAACTTAAATTTTGATTTAATCTAACTTTAGTTATATTTTACATTTTAGATGGTACCCACCTGGTCATGGAGATTTTTATGATAGCTTTAAGAATTCAGGATTATTGCAAAAATTTATTGATACAGTATGTTTTTATTTTATTACATAATTTATTATAATAATTTTATTAGAATTGATAATTTTCTTTAGGGTCGAGATTATTGTTTTATTTCAAACATAGATAATTTAGGTGCAACTGTTGATTTAAATATTCTCAACATGTTGTTGGGTCCTGAAACTAATTCCCCAGAATTTGTAATGGAAGTTACCAATAAAACAAAAGCTGATGTTAAAGGTGGTACATTGATTCAATATGAGAATAAATTGCGGTTGTTAGAAATTGCACAAGTTCCCAAAGAACACCTGGAGGAGTTTAAGTCTGTTAAGAAATTTAAGTTTTTCAATACAAACAATCTCTGGATAAAGCTCAACGCTATAGAAAAAGTTTTGAATGAAGGATCAATGAATTTGGAAATAATTGTCAACAATAAGACTTTAGATAACAATTTAAATATAATTCAGCTTGAAACAGCTGTTGGTGCAGCTATGAAATCATTTAATGGCGGTCTTGGTACATATATTCTATAATTTTATACTATAATATTTAATTTTGACAATTTCTTTTTTATATTTTAAAATAGGTATAAATGTACCTCGTAGTCGTTTCTTGCCAGTAAAGAAAACTTCAGATCTTTTATTGGTGATGAGCAATTTATATCACATGCGAAATGGATCACTGTCTATGAGTCCTTTAAGAATGTTTCCAACAACTCCATTAGTAAAACTTGGTGATAAAGATTTTGCTAAAGTTAAAGACTTTTTGTCTCGGTTTGCCACCATCCCTGACATACTAGAATTGGATCATTTGACAGTATCAGGCGATGTAACATTTGGTCGTAATGTTTCATTAAAAGTGAGTTTTATTATTGTAAGTTGTCTAAAAAGTCCTAATTATGTATTATATTTAGGGCACTGTTATAATAATTGCAAACCATGGAGATAGGATAGATATTCCATCAAATGCAACACTAGAAAACAAAATTGTGTCAGGAAATCTCAGAATATTAGACCATTGAAGAAATACCACAATTTTACTACTTATTGTTTGTAGATGCATGTATATGATTTTTAATTATAAAAATATTATTTTAGGTATTTATTGTTTTTATTTATTTTCAAAATTATGTTAGTGAATTATTGTTGTAATGCAAAATGGGGTAGAATTATATTAATATACTAAAAAAATATTTTAAGAACAAAATTTTATTTTGTATAAGTGTTAATATTTATAGTTATTATCAAGATAACGTGTTGTTTTTGTTTTATATTGCTTACCAAATTTTTATTTTATGTTAGATCAATGTCATTAATATATATTATAAATTAAAATCAAAATAAATAAACTAAATTATATTTTGTGTTAAATTATTATTGAGAAATATTGAAATTAAATTTATAGATTTGAATAATTATTGATAATTGCATTCTTTCCTGGTATATCTTCTTCTTTCCTTTCTTCCAATTATTTGGGGTTGGCCACCCTTGTCTTAAATCTCCACTCGTCTTGATTTTCTGCATCCCCTACGCACACACCAACAGCCCTCATATCATTCTCAATCGTATCTAGCCATCAATTTTTTTTCTTTTCTTTTTCCTTTCAACGTTCATTTTCATAACAACTCTTTTTGCATTTGTTTCCTCTTGTCTCATCACATGCCCAAACCATCTCAGTATATTTTCTTTCATCTTGTTCACTATACACACTACAACAATACTTCCTATCACATATTAATTTCTATTTTCAAGACTATTATTATTATTAATTAATTTTAGGATAATACATTCCTATTCATTATTACTGAAATTGTTTTATTTTTCTATCAAAAACTGCTTTAATTACCTATATACATATTTGGTGCCTCAACTAAAATCAAGTAGGAGTAGCTACTACTATAGTTAGTAGGTGGAAGCGTCAGAAGCGATTAAAAATATTTGTTTCCACTAATAAATAAGACAAAAATGTTAAGCCCCCCCACAGATGAAACCAAATATCCGTCTATGCGTGTCAGTCAAATTTATTTATCATTTTTAAGTTTGCTTTGTTATTGTCATCAACACAAACAACTTGTGAAAGAGTATTTTTAAAGCTTCAATGTGTAAAAACAAAACTTCACTCAACATTACACCAAAATCATCTTACCCATTAATGTTGATGGCTATAAAAAAAAATATAGCTATTGATACCTAACAACTGATTGAGACCATAGCTAATTCATCTAATGAATTAAAAAAATTACTTATATAAAAATTGTGTTTTATTAATTAAAGAATTCTTATTAAGTATGTCAAAAATAATTAGTTGTAAAATTGCTTTTATATTTAATTTAATATTAATAAGTTAACTCATGAGTTAACTAAATTGTTTATTATGATCCATATAAGGGCGGATACAGTGGTACTAAACAGGGGAGAGGCGCAATTTGTTAGTTATTAATTAAAAAAAAGTTCATCATCTATTTCAATAAAAAACTATTGGAATATATGACACTTTTTTTTGTGAAACATTGGTGGAGGAATTTCCCCCATTAACCCTCTTATATCCGCCCTTGGTTCCATATTGGAAAATGTTAAGTATATTTATAGAAGTAATTTAATATGTTATTTCAATAAAATGTCATGTATTTTTTGGGGGCCCCTTGAAAGAACTGATCCACGGGCATTTGGTGTGCCAAGCCGACACTGAAATCGTTTAATACTTTTTTTAATTAACAAATTAAATAAATTATAACATAACTAGCTGAATTACCTGGCTTCGCCCATGTGTAGTTTTTGCTTACTGAAAATGAAATTGTTAAATCAACACAAAATTTTGTGTTTTAAAGAAGAAAACAATATTTTTTACTTAATGCTATCAAGTGCTAAATAGTACCGTAAAATGGGGTGACTCCGGACAGATCTTAACGTTTTTTCATAAATTAACCTCAATATACTGTTTCTAAAATTATGAAAAAAATATACCATGTTCTTTAGGTATGTTGAAACCATATAGAAGAAGAGTAATCATTAAAGTTATTAAAGTTCTCACTTTTTTAAAGTTTAATTTTGTCCGGAGGTACCCGCAAAATGGGGTGACTTCGGACACTTATTTGATTTCATTAAAAACCAATGTAAAAATGATATTGGTTGACTCCGAACAGTAAAGATATTTTTTTTAAAAAATGTGACGGATTAAACAAAAAAAAAAAACTTTACTATAAATACAACATATTTTATTAAATATTTTGAATTAAAAAAAATAATTTTTTACTTTTATAAAAATGTCAACTTAAAATTAAATTTTTTCTTTTCAAACATAAACTAATAATTATCAAACAAAACTTTTATAAAATGTTATATTAGGTATTTAAATTTTTATTTCTTCAATGAAAATTAGTTGCATCAATCTTGTCAAAAATGAAATGTCCCCGTTTCATTATTTTACTGGGCACTAACTTTCGTACTACTTGCATCTTTGTGATATTACTGTTATCTTTGACTTGTGAAAAAACGAAATATGACCGAATACTCCGAACATTTCATAATCCTTCTACAAGTTGACTTCCTTCGTCGGTGTTTAAAATTGGTTGTCCACCAGGCTTTTTTATCATTTTGTTTGTATTTAAATGGTCACATTTTGTACTTTTTGGTATTCCGAACGCTTCAGAAGCACGTCGAATTGTTATTTTTTTGTAACGAATGGCATCAACTGCATTTTTAATTATATTATGATCGTCAGTAGCGCAATCAGGAATTTTTCATGGGGGTGTTGCGTGCCGTCGCTCAATCGTATATGATGGTTAAGTTTTTAAAGGATAGACTTCAATAAAACACTCAATTGAAATTTTAACTGTTTATTTAGCATATAAAAATAACATTAATATAAGAAATAATGTGGCGTGAAGGTGCTTGCGACTCTACATGTAAACCACATCTGAATATTGGTCTATTCCCAACCCCCTTATATACTTAGGTCCCGTGGAGATCAACCGTGCAACGCTGTGCGAAAGTTGTTTTCCAAATGTCAGATTACCTTAGTGGCCTTGTCAATATTACTATTTGCGCATTATCCATTAGTGACTCGGACCTAGCAATATCAACCACATGTCATCTGTCGTCTGGCTTGCCATTATCTATATTCCGTGCACTTAACGAATCCGCTTTTTACACATGTCTTACTGATGCCTAATTATAATAATGTTTTTAATATTTATTACATATTACCTGTCTTCGTAATATGTGTTTGCGTTACCCTCTGTTTTAAACTAATAGTTCCTTTCTATTACTGCGAATATTATATTATTCATAATCATTCTGCGATCTCTAATATTTATAATTTATGTGGACCCGCCCGTACTGTAAGAGTCGTAAGGACCTACATTCATGTATGTCCGCAACAGGGGGGTCTGACAAAATAAACTAATATACAAATAATAAAAAATTATAATATATATATCTAGAATATGATATTAATATACTATTATACGTACCAAGGGGGGGGGGAGGTCCAGACCCGGGTCCACCCCCCTGGTTGCGCCACTGATGATCGTAATTCTGATAAGAACGGCCACCTACCTTTTTCTTGTATGATCTGGGCATCGTAATTTACGTGTCCGAAGTAACCCCACGTTTTAAATTAATTTGAACAATGTAACACTTCAATGTGAGGATAAATTAACTAACAATTTGCACACATGTACATTATTACTGACAAGTTAGCGAGTCGATTGCCGCAAACCGAAATCAAATACGTACATTTGCTGTTATGCTACAGTTGTTATAAGTTTAATAATTTTAAAATCCAAAAATAGAACATCTTATATTTACCTCCATAACATATGGTATGATAATATTATGTTATTAATAAATATTATATTATATGGAAGATATAATAGATATTAACGTGGATTATCAGTTTTCAACTTTTATCAAACTTGTAATCTAAAATTATAAGAAAACTACAAAAATATGGTTTTGTCCGGAGTCACCCCACTTGTCCGAAGACACCCCATTTTACGGTACCTAGTAGTAGCTGAATTATAAATAAAATAAAAATAATGATAATATTTACAAATGACTCTTTACGTAGTTGCTCAATTCTAATATGGCTTAAGTCAAAACCTCTTGGTATACCACATTCTGAGTTTTATTTTGTGATGCATAAACGTATAAACGGTTAGATCTTCCAGCTCTAGACAATGTCACATACAATTGCCCATGTGAAAAACAATTATTTGCCAAATCTACACCACAGTAAGTTAAAGTCTGACCTTGAGCTTTGTTTATTGTCATTGCAAAACAGACTTTTATTGAAAATTGAACTCTTCTAAACTTAATTGGAAAATCGTTGGGGTATAATGGTATTTTCGGTAAAAATATTTTTTCTCCCTTAGCACATCCGGTCAAAATTTCAGCTTCAATTATATTTTTTGTAAGAGAGGTTACACGGAGCCTAGTCCCATTACATAATCTAGGAGAATTGAAATTTCTCAATAATATAATTGGAACTCCCACCTTCAGTCAGTGGCGGATCTACAGGAGTGGATATGGGGGATAGATCCCCCCTCTCGTGAGCCAAGAGTTAATAAAAAAATTTTTGCATGCACAATTTAAATAAAAATTATTTTATTATAATATCGTTTTCACTATTTCGTAACCAAGAAGGATATACTAGTATACATTAGTATCTAACTTCATATCAGATTACGGATATATACCTTGTTCTTATATCATAACCCAGGATACAGCCATAGAGTAATGACACAATCATCAATAAAATTAAATTTTATTTTGTAAATTTAGTATAATAAAGCTTATAATACCAATAGGAACATATTATGTATGAAAATATTTTATATTCCCCCCATGATAAAATCCTAGATCCGCCACTGCTTTCAGTGATATTTTATAAGGAGGCATACCAGATGGTGTTTGTGAATTTAAAAACTTGGTAGGAAAATGTACCGATTCTTCACTATTAATAACTATCAATAGAAAAGTAATCCATTTTTAGTGCTTAAAATCTACTAATTATTAGCGAGTTTATTGAGTCATCTCGGTTATTTGTGGTTGTCAAAATAACGCGGTTTTTCATATAATCCTACATAAGTCATAGCAACCGTAATCGGTCAACTGCTATTGTTATTATATGAATATAGATGTACAAATTACATGTAAAAAATTATTTTTACCGATTTCAACCCTTTAAAATCAAAATTTTAAAAATCGGGTGACGTGGTGGTACTTAGGAAGTTATTTGGAATAATCCTGTGAAAAAAATTGGAAAAAAGTTAAATAGTGTCGTCACAAAATGGGTACATAAAAAGCCATGTTCTTTTATATATAAAAGGATAAAACATACAATTTCCTTTTTTTTTTAATTAACATTATAATACAGTGGCGTAGCCAGGATTTTTAAATGGGGGGGGGCTAACTACTTTTTTGGATAAGTAAGGTAAGAGAGGATACGAGAATTCACCCTTAACCCCCCCCCTCACCATCTACCGCTAAGTTTCTAAACGTAATTCAAGCATTTTAGTATAGTTTTAAAAATATTTATTAATATATAATTTATAATAATAATAATAATAATTTTGGTTTCAGTGTTCAGTCACTTGCTCCACTCTGACAGCTGCATCCTCTTAGGCGAATTTCTGGCAAATTCAGTTATTATTTCACTTTCATGGAATTGCTCTTTTTTATTTATATTAGCCATAGCTAATCCATTCAGTCTGTTTTCCGACATGGTGCTTCTTAAAAAAAATTTTAAGCGATGAAGTGCTGAAAACGTTCTTTCCGGAGTGAAAGAGGTAACTGGTAACGTGGCGAATAATTATAAAAGTATTTTAATGTTAGGTCGAAGATTGGTGTGATGATAGAGTGAATCAAGAGCAGAATTCGGTTTTGGAATAGTATTTTGACTCCATTGTTGCCTCCATATGAACAGGTTAGTTCTGATTGTAGATGAGGTATCATCATGGAGATCTTGGACATATATTTTAGCAGTTTTTATAATATTTTTATCGTCATACATATTTAAATTGGCCGGAATAAGTCTTTCAAGTGGCATAACATCAATAAGCCTTTGATTAAAACGAGCATCCATTGATTCTATTAAATAGTCAAGATACATTATATATATAAACACGGCCCATGGGGAGGGGCTATAGCCCCCTTAGCCCCCCCCTAGGCTACGCCACTGTTATTATATAATAAAAATGCAATTTTTTTTTTAATTTTCAAATTTTAATATAATAAAACATACTATTTTATTTTTTTTATTGTTTTATTTTTTTTTTTTTATTAGGTATATTATTTTTAAAATTAATTTCGCTAAAATATTTTGACGCCACTGGGCATGTGCCTATCCATCCCACCCCCTAAATACGGGCCTGTCTATGATTAAACTTGTCTACAAAATATTTATTCTTTCTTGATCATCAAACAGCTGTTGATTGTCTTTTATCAATTTATATTTACTGATAACTTAATCAGTGATTACCCTTGTGCCCAGTTTAAATTTCATGCTTTGGACGTTTATTTTTGATTTTAATTTGAACCTTTGTAAACTTTGTTTCAGGATATCACCAAGATTTACACATATTATATGTATCATATAACTTGTGGTACCTATATAGTTCTTAATGCACCATAGTATTTTTGAAAAAGGCACGTATCATGTTATAGTTGATTAAATAATTTAATCAATGATATTAATATTTAATTTTATAAATTAAGTAATTCTTCTGTGGTTTAAATATGAAATTAAAGTAGTGTGGTTATTAGGATTCCTAACTAATAACATTTTTATATACAATTTCACTCTGAGTATTAAGAAGTATCAATATTTATTATTCATTGAAACTAATAATTTAATTATAGTTTGTTCATTTATAAAATTCTATGGGAATATATTATAATAATATGATGTACTTTATTCCTAACATTTTGATGTTTTATTACCAAAAATCATTTATATTCTTTATGGTTATGATTTCTTTTATACAGTCAACTAAAAGAAATGAAATGATCAAATTCAATATTAAACCATTAAAATATATTGATAATAGTAAACGATACAAGTCATTTTTGTCTTCACACGAAATACGTAAACGTTTCATTGATTATTTTGTTAAGGAAAATAATCATAAATATATAAAATCAAGTCCAGTAGTGCCGTATAATGATCCAACTATAGCCTTTGTAAATTCTGGCATGTGCCAGGTAAGAATGTTAAGCTAATTGTAAAAAAAAATATATGTTGATGAATTTGATTGAATATTTTTTTTTTGTGTAGTTCAAGAATGTATTACTTGGACAAAGAACTTTAGAGGCTAACTGTATTGCAAATAGTCAAAAGTGTATAAGAGTTGGTGGTAAACACAATGATTTGAATATTGTTGGCTCCGATGGATATCACCATACATTTTTTGAAATGCTAGGAAATTGGTCATTCGGACATTATGGCAAGGTTGAATTATTTTATTTAAAAAGTATTTAAAAGTTTATTAAAATTATATTTTAAGGCTGAAGCTTGTGGTTTAGCTTGGAATTTATTGACTTTACCACCGTTTAATTTACCCAAAAAGCATCTATATTGCACTGTGTTTAAAGGTGATAAATCTCTAGGTATAGAGTCTGATGATGAAACTCGTCATATATGGAAACAGATTGGGTTAATATTTTACTTTTTACATGTAAAATAAAACTTAATATTAATTTACAAATGTAGTAATTATTGTGTATTATTACAGAGTGAGTGACAATAATATTATTATGTGTGGAGCAAGTGACAACTTTTGGGAAATGGGAGAAATTGGACCATGTGGTCCTTGTACAGAAATTCACATAGATTATCCTCCTTCAGACGGAAAAAATCTTATTGAACTTTGGAACATTGTCTTTATACAATATTCTCGGTAAATTATATTTTATTAGTTAAATTTACTATGAAGTTAAGTATTAAATAAATAGGCTTTTTGTAGAGAGAATAAAACTTCTATACACAAGTTACCAAATTATTTCATAGATACTGGTATGGGTTTGGAACGATTGACAATGGTTCTGCAAAATAAGACATCTACTTATGATACAGATTTATTTTCTCCTATATTCAACAGAATATTTAATGTGAGAAATCAGAACATTAATCAAAATTAATTTTTGCAAATTGTATACTTAAAATTACCTAATAGGTTTATGGAAAATCAAAATACACAGGACTATTTGATGAATCCAGTTTAGACACTTATTACCGGATCATGGCAGATCATGGGAGAATGATTACTGTTGCTCTCTCAGATAATATGCTTCCTAGTCATAAGTTGTATTTTTATAGTTATAAAATTAGAATAATGGAATAAAACAATTTTAAATTATTTTAGCCATAAATTAAGAAGAATCATGCGGAAATCATTTTTATTGACAGAAACCCATTTTAAAATTCAACCAGGATATACTTTATTGTATGATATTGCTGACGAAATAGTAAATAGTCTTGGTGATACATATCCTGAATTGGTTGAAAATAATAAAAAAGTTAAATTTATTAATTCTATTTAGTCCATTACGTATTCTTATATTATTAAATTAATTTTTTTTAGGTGAAATACTTAATAAAACATGAATATACTATATTTAATAAATTAAGAATGTCAGTTTCAAAAGATTGGAAAATTATTATTGAAAAATATCCAGTCTTAAGGAAGTTTAATCCATATGAAGAATGTACAGGATTTGTTCCAGCTTGTAGTTACTTAATTAAACACAAATATTTGAATCATATACCAGCATTTACTATGTATGATGCTTTTGGTCTTGATAAAAAAACAATTGGGAAACTAGCTGAAACTATTGGTAAGAATGCATGTTATTTTAATATTAATATTACTTAAGTTATATACTTTTTCATAGGCCTATCAGTGAATTGGAATGAATTTGAAATGCAATTAAGAAATTTGCAAACCAAAAGCATAAAATGCATACAAAAAGTATCCAATAATTATTCAATGCAAAATATTCCTAAAACTGATGATAGTTACAAGTATAAAATTACTCGTCATAGCAATCAAACATATGTATCACCTGTAGTTACTGCTAAACTTCTAGCTATTATAGATATGAATGGTAACATTGTGACAGAGCCAGATATAACAAAACATGGAGTTATAGTTTCATTAGTATTGGATAAGACTTGTTTTTATAGTAAAGCTGGTGGACAACAGCATGATATTGGTACTGTAAAAACTAATAATGGGAAAATATTTAATGTTAATGATGTGGAAAAAATACAAGAAAATGGTATTGTATTGCATTTTATCAATTCAATTGATTGGCCGATATTATTAAAGTACTGAATTTACATTTACAGTTTTTAAATATTAATTTTTAAATTTAATAATTTTAAATATTTAGTGAAAAAGAATTGACAATTGAAATAAATTCAAACCATAGACTTGGTTTAATGCGTGCTCATTCATCAGTTCACATATTACATGCAGTTATTAATTCGCACTTGGTTGTAACTACTCAATTATCAAGTTGTGTGAAAAATAACTTCTTGTCTTTTTCATTTGCACTATTTGGTCAAACATTTTCTCCTGAAGGTAAATAATAATTCACAAGATGTTTAAATCAAGTATAGTGTTCTTATTATTGAGAATATTTTCATAAATTATGTAGATGCTTTATTAGTAGAAGAAAAAGTTAATAATCTCATACAATCTGGAGCATCAGTTAAAAGAACTACAATGACATCTAATGATTTAAATCAAATAAAAGTTACATTACTTCCCGGAGAAGTTTATCCAGATGATCAAGTACATGTTATAGATATATATAATGATATTGATGATTTGTACATATCAAGAGAAGCGTGTTGTGGTACACACATTCAAAATACTTTGGATGTAATAGATTTTTGCATAGTTCAATACAAATGTCTTGCTCATGAATGTACCTTAATTGCATTAACTGGACCTTTATGCAAGGATGCAAGAATTAATGGTGAAAAAGTGTTAAATAAATCTAATAATCTTGAAGGTATATTAAATTCAATAACCTTAAATAACATAACTCCAACCAAGGTAACAAGAGTATTTATTAAAAATTACATAACACCTCTAATCAATTGTTTTAACTTTAGGTCAATATTTTACTAGATCATATGAATCAATTAAAATTAGAACTGAAAAATATTTCTAAAAATTATATACCACTTAACATTCAAATTCAAATAAAAAAGAAGATTTTGGCTACAGAGAGAAATATTCAGAGACTTGTTAAAGAAAAGAAAAAGTAGTAATAATAATTAACTGTTTATTAATACTCTTAAATTAACTTTATTCAACTATTAATTTAGAAAAATATTAGAAGATGCAGTTAAAAAATTATGTGAAGATTCCTATGCTATAGGTTATGTGGATTGTGATATGGCTTACTTCTTAGATGATGATTATTTTGATTTTGAACATGTCAAAAATATTTGTGGTGAAGTACCTTGTTTATTTTTAACATATAACAATAAGAAAATTCATGTTTACTTTCACATTCCAAAGGTATATATTACAAATGATTTTTCTTTTAAAATAATTAAATTATCTATTATTGTTATTCATCATAGGAAGCCCCAGTGGATGAGAAATGGTTAGATGACTTCTGGTACAAATTTAATATTAAATCAATTAAATTTAAAAATAAATCTGCCTATAAATTCATTGAGTTTAAAGTAAAACAAGAAAATAAATATAAGGCACGAGAGATAATTAATGATGTGATTCAATATGCTAAAAACTATTTTAATATTATGAAATAAGGTCAATATTATTAAAATGTATTAATAAAAAAATAGTCTTATAATTTTAATAAAATTACTGACATTTTAATGTTTTTCAAGAAAATTTATCGATTTTAGTTTTATAATAAATAACAAATACACTTTTATTTTAATGCAATTCAATATATGAAAATAACCATAATTTAATAGTCGAAAAAAAAAAATAAAATTGCAGTCTTTACTCACTATTTCACTATATTCATAATAATATAATATTTGTGAACTTAAAGTGAAATAGTGGTGTTTATTAAAAATTATATAAACAAAAATTATAAACGTTCAATAAGAATTGATGATGCTCCACCTCCACCATTGCAAATAGAAGCTACACCTTTTTGTCCTGATTTCAATGCATGAGCCAAGTGAACTACAAGCCTGGCACCAGACATACTAAAAATAAAAATAACATTTTTTTTTTTTTTGCCTGGTTATAATTATTAATTATTGTATTGCAATGTATTTACCCAATGGGATGGCCTAAGCTAACAGCACCACCATGTACATTGACTTTGGATGGATCAAGATCCAATTTCATTATATTAGCTAAAACAACTACACTGAATGCTTCATTTATTTCCCACAATGCTATCTCATCTTTGGATAAGCCACTTTTACTTAATAACTGAAATTAAATAATAGTATTTAAACTGATGAAAGTACACAAAATTACCATTCACACTTTAGGGATTGCAAATGCTGGTGCAATAGGAAAATCAATAGGGTCAGTAGCACCATCTTGAAATGCAATTATTCGAGCTAAAGGTTTCAAATTTAATTCTTTGACAATTTTTTCATTCGTCAACACTACAGCTGCAGCACCATCATTAATTGTCGATGCATTTCCAGCAGTAACTGTTCCATTTTCTTTCTAAAATGAAACATATAGATCAATATTATATAAAATCTATACAATTTTAACCACCCAATATTTACTTGAAACACTGTATTCAATTTTTTAAACTTATCAAAATCCACTCTTTTAAATTCTTCATCTTCCAACACAACAATATCAGGTTTATCTAAAGAGGTTGAAATTACTTTCAACTGATGCTTATTAAAAAAAAAAAAAATCAACTAAATACCTTTTTTTTGTGGGACATTAACTGGAACTATTTCTTGAGTAAAAATTCCTTGTTTCCATGAATCAGCACTTTTCTTGTAACTACTTATGGCAAAATCATCTTGTTGTATTCTACTAATGCCTAACTGTTTAGCTGTATTTTCAGCACAACTTCCCATATGAATTTTATTATAGACATCGGTTAAACCATCAAAAACAATTCCATCCTAATAAAATAGTAATTAATTCAATAGTTATAGTATATCTATAAATGAAATAATTTAATAATAAACGAACAGATAAATTCACACCACCATATTTTGTATCTCCTCTGGCTAAATAAAATGGCACATTAGACATAGATTCCATGCCACCAGCAATTACTATTTGTTGATGGTCACATATAAGACTTTGAGACGCCAGCATAATAGATTTCATTCCAGAAGCACAAACTTTATTTATAGTTGTACATATAGTTGATTTAGGTAATCCTGAAAATTATATTTAATGGTTTAATATCAAACAATTAAATACAATAAATAATTAATTAAATTCACCAGCAAATATGGTAGCTTGTCTAGCAGGTGCTTGCCCAACACCACCCTGGCATACGTTACCCATAAAAACCTCTTGAATTTTATCTTTAGAAATGCCAGATCGTTCAACAGCAGACTGGTAAGAAAAATATAATGAATAATACTTATCTTATATGATTTTTCAGTATTTTATGAATTATGTAGTATTATAGTGAGATATATGACATATACCTGTTCTCTGTTTTTTTTTTAATGCTTATACTCAGAGAAAAATATATAATATGTGAGCATATATACATTTTTTAAATAAACAAAAATGTGTAGCAAAGAATAAACTTTATCGATTTCCATAATAAAACAGACAATTACAAATTTTTAATGTACCTACACTTTTTAGCACAATTTGATATATTCAAATAATGAAAAGGGTAATATATAAATAAATAAATACGAAAATAAAAATTAAATATAACACATAGGGGTTAAAGCCCTTTTTGTTAAGCTATCAAACCTATCTAAATAATAACTGTGTTAGTATGATATTATCTAATATAAGTTGAAAACATATATTAAAAATATAATATTATAATACAAATAATTTTTATTACCACATATTTTAAATGTATTTAATTAGATATTAATTTTAGTAATAATTAATTTTACAGTACTAGATCGATTGACAATGGATTATATAAATAACCCTGGTAAATGTTTGTAATAACTTGAATATATTAAGCAATCCTTTTTTCTAAATTTGTGAAGATTTCAGAGGAGAGAGGGTTTTAACACCCAAAACCCACCTAGGCATTTTCTTATATATAATATATTATATATATGTGTGTGTGTACATATATAAGAAAAGAGCTAACCTTGTTGGTATTAATTTAAACCAAGCTCGCTTAAGTATAAGAAATTACCTTTCATCTAAACCAAACCTGACCTCAATTGCTTGAAATTAAATTTCTGTTACATACATACCTTTGAATTTCAAAATGAAATTTCTAGAAAAATAAATTTCAAAAAAGTATTTCAAATGGTCATATCATAGATATCATCACAGTGGTAACTTGTATCCAAGTTGGTTTGAATGAAGGATAGTTAGACATCATTGATTTGTTGAAAACTGATTTTTTTAATAAGTTTGAATTAATTTGTCTCTATCTCAAAAATAAAATCGACAAGATGAGTCCATCTTATATATAAAAATCTCGTGTCACAGTGTTTGTCCGGAATGAACTCCGAAACTAATGAACCGATCATGATGAAATTTTTTACATCGTGTGTAATTTGGTTCAACTTAAAAGATAGGATAGTTTTCGTCTCAAATTTTTTAATGTATTAACTTTTTTATAAATTTACATACTTATGTATAATTGTATGGTGGATTTCGGGTATTCCCGCGACCGACCGCGATAGTATCTATATAGCTACCTGTAATCTGACCTTTTTTCTATTGTGTGTGTTTTATCGTCGGCGGCGTGTAGATATGAATAGGATAGTTTTTAAGGCCCTCAATATTTTTGTATTGCAATAATTGTGAAAGAGAAAGTTATAGAATTTTCTAGAAAGATCCACAATGTTTGAAAATGGGGAGGATGTCGTATAAAATATTCCCTAAAGCTTCATTCTAGAAATTTCAATCTTCAAAGGTTAGGTTACTCTATGCTTCAAAGATATAAAATGCAAAGTTTGGTACGACGTACTTATCAATATTATTCAGCGAAGTGTAAGTATAGTAAAGTTTCTATTGAAAACCTTCAAAAGGTGATTGGTGATTATTTGAAAGATTCACTATATAATTTCTCATACAAAAATATATTTATGAAACTTGCATGAAGTTTGCATATTCATTATTGCCAATTGGCTATTAATATAATTGATTTATAGAAATAAGTAAAAAATCTTAACTATCTAATGAGTGTGGGTAAAATTAAAGGTCACAGTAAGTGGAGTAAGAGATGTTGCCAAATGTGTTCTTACATAAGATACATTGGAAATAAATTTAAGTATAATAGATTTATAAAATATTTATAAGTTTTAATTTCAAATTTTTAAAAGAATAATTAATTCAATTATTTTAAATTAAAACTTACTTGAATAGCTATAGCACCTAATTTTGTAGCAGATAAACTCTTCAATGATCCACCAAAAGACCCTATTGGAGTTCTTGTCGCACTCACAATGAACACATCCTTCAAAATTGAAGTTGTTGATATGCATCGCGTGGTACTTTTCTTAAAAATCTAAAATACAAAAATTATTTTTAGAATTACTGTTACATTTTCAAATTACAATCGGAATTTTATTTAATTCCTATTAAAACCATTATAATTTGTTTTATTATTATACCTTTCCTATTTTGAACTTGAACATGATGGTTTATTACACTAAAAAGAGAAAAATATTATTCATAAAAGGAAAATATTATTTTATTCAGAATAATGATTACTATACTATTATATATTTAATTATAAAATTAAAAAACTTTATTCATGGTGTTTTTACTTACAAATAAATTTAGTATTATGATGTTATTTCAGTAATTCTGATTACCAAATACAACTTATGTATTATGAATTTAATGAATAATGAACTAAAAAATACCTTGGTATAACCTTATGTGACACTATAAAATCCAAAGTGCATTATATAAGTAACAATAACATTGTTGATTAAATATATAATTACATTTAATCAATGATAACATGTAGTTTTGTTATCAATTCAGTTTTGTTTTAAAGTTATTATATAGTAATCTAACACCCTTGGACCTGATGTACTGATTAGTTCACCATCCTTCTCCATGTTTCATATAATATACCATTGATTATAAAACATAGACCTTATACTAAGTAAAAAGTCTATGTTATAAAATAAATTTAAGTTTATAAATATTATTTATCCTATAATCAATGATATGTCTTATCAGAAACACGTTCAATTTGAATTTTTAGTCATCACTCGTAATGCTCAGTATGTTTATTTAATATTCTAATTTTATTTAAAAAATGGTGCCTATAGATTTGAAGGAAAAGAAGTTGAATACGGTAATTATTATGAGATTTAGTGTAGGAACTTTTGCTAATATATATTGTTGTTTAAGATTGAAGATGTAGCTTATTATATACCAAATTTTATTACTGAAGAACAGGAAAATTACATTATAGATAAAGTAAATAGTGCACCCAAGCCAAAATGGTGTCAATTATCAAATAGAAGACTTCAAAATTGGGGTGGCATTGTTCATGCTAAAGGACTTATACCGGAAAAAATTCCAAATGCAAGTATTAACATTGATTTCATTGGTAAAAAACTAAATAGTTAATTGTTAAAAACTTATTTATTATAATAAAATGTTGATGCGTAAATATTATAAAATAGTGGTTAAATGGATTTATTGATAAAATAGAAAGTTTAAGAGTGTTTCCCGAAACAAATAGGCCAAATCATGTGCTAATTAATGAATACTTACCAGAACAAGGAATCATGGTATATTTTTATAAATTATTTTAAGTTATTTTAACTATAGTTAATAATTTATTATTGTATTTATTCTTTAGCCTCATTTGGATGGCAATTTATTTTTTCCAACTATAAGTACTATTAGTTGTGGATCTCACACAGTATTGAATTTTTATAAACCATTTACTGAGGTAAGATCACATAACTATCATTTGATATCATTGAAGCATAAGTAAAAAAAATAAAATTTAAAAACCAAAAGTACTGTTACAATAATTGAAACAATATATAACCTACCTTCATTTTTTCTTCTAAATCTTAAAGAAAAGTCAAGATTTTATTTAGTGTTAAAGCATTTGTGCATCATTCTTAAGTATAAAATATATATTGTCCTAACATCATGTATATCTCAATATATATTGGGGTTATAATAATAATAAATGACTAGCCCCATCTTGGTATTATTAATAAAATATCAAAAAATATCTCCATTTATTGTCAGTCGACTCAGGAGTCATAGTTGTGAAGAATAAATGTGGTTATTATTCAGAATTTGTTTATCTTTTTAGTTTGATTATGCTTCAACACTGTTAGAAACATTTCATTTGTAATCCATACGTATGTAACCATTTAAAATTATGTATAATTTCAAAAGCTTCTTCGTAATTTGAATATATTTAAGATGTTTAATAAAATGAAACTTACCAAAAAACATCACATTTTAAAATATAGCATTTAAGAATTAGGAGAAATTAACATTTATATATTACATAATTTTAGATTTTATAAATAGAAAAATGGTTAAGCATATTGGTTTTTGTTTACAGCACTGATTTATAATTTATATGTTAATTCTTTTATTCATGTTTTTGATTATATATATTTAATATAGATCGATAAAGAATCTAACAAATTCTCAACTAAGAAGGTCTATAGTTTATTATTGGAACGAAGAAGTTTACTTGTTCTGCAGGAAAAAATGTATAACAACTATATGCATGGAATAGAAGAAATAACAACTGATATTATAAATGATAGTATTTCCAATTTAAAATGTTGTGGATCGTACATGCAAAACGGAGAATCATTAATAAGAAGCAAACGTATATCATTAACTATAAGAAATGTTCCAAAAGTGTCAAAATTAAATTTGAATTCTTTGATTAAAAAAAAGTAAAATCTTGCACTTCAAAACACAAAAATATACATTAATTGTTTAAATATATTTTAAAATTCACTTAAATAATTAATCAAATTTGTAATATTTACAGTTATAACTTTTCTTTATGTATATATAAATATATTTCTTTATGATTAAAAGTAGATGGTAAATCAATTTTTTTCTAAGGTGCACATCCCTACTGTTGGTATTCAATTGTAATTATATAATAAAAATCAAGATTTACAAACAATATCAAAGCAGGTTGACATCAAAACCTGAATACTAGACTCAAGGTTATTTACAGCATACAGACACAATCAAAATTTTACACTTGTAAATTAATAAAATATTGCGATATTGCAAATATGGCAAAACCACGTCACACAAAAACAAATATTTTTTACTTACATAACTAATAATATTTGATGTAGAAATATTTATCTAATATTATTCATATATATATATTTATTGGCTATATTAACCTAAATCATATGTACAATACTTTATATAGAGCTTACAATTTTTGTTTGAATAATAAAATTTAATTGAATTGTACTGCAAGTAATAAATTATCATTTGGAACAATAAGTATTCATGGAAGTAAACAATATTTTTTTTTTAAAATAAATATTTTTGTGCGTAAGGAATACATTGATAATACATTTTAGAATTTGGTGTACATCCATAATTCTAATTGAAACCATTGTAAAAAAAAAAAAAAATATACATAATTTAAAAATCAAATTATAAAATATACAGATTAAATTACTGTAATGAAAAACCTATTTTAAAAAGTTCATTATCTAAGGACGCCAATGTCAAAAATTAATTTATATTAAATAAATATACAAATATTTGATATTTATTTAATAAAAATACTAAAAACATTTACATATTACTTAAATTAGGTAAAATGAATATCACATAGATTTCTTTCACAAAATATATTCATACTAGAAATACAAACTATGTTATGTTGAAAACATATTTATTTCTATTAGGTTGAGAAATAAATGCTATATTTTAAAAAAATGTTTAAAAGAAAATAATTATCATATTTATGTTTGTATACATGGATATATAGTGAGCAATATTATAATTTTAAATTTATCTGATTAAATTTTGACACTGACAAATGTAATATTTATCTACTATGATAAACTAGATACTATACAATAAATTTAATTATTTAATGTCACAAAAATGATTCTTGGAAAAAAAAATCAATGAACAACCATATAACTATACATTATTTAATATATATTTGCTGTTAATTTTAAATTGAATACTATTAGCTACCTAAGTTACTGGAAACTTAATAAAAATAATAAACGAAAAAAGTATAAAATTATAAAAGTTAAACAAGAATGTGTTACTAACACATCAAAACAATTTGTGATATGGTATGTGTTTCAACATAAAAATGAAGTCTTCAAGAAATCAGAACTAAATTATACTGTGTTAATATTAATAAATTGAATCTTTTTTTTAAATATTGTTCAAACAAGTAGTAGACTATATTACTTAAGTGATCATGATAATCATTTACGATTCCTCAGGGTTTTTCGATCCTTGGAGTTGGTTTTTACCATTCCAATACCAGCAGTAGTTATTTTTGCAGAAACAGCATTTCCTGCATCTAAAAATGAAAATTGTGGTTTTAGTTTTTAAAAAATGTGGTAAATAAATTTTAAAATTGAAAAACATTGATAAAATAATAAATCTAACTTAAATAAATAATAATATAAATGTAATAAAGAGATAAATAAAATAATTTCTTTCTAAATATTAATAAAAATTAGTGTTATATTAGATGAAAACATTTTAAGTCATGCAAAAGAAAATAATTGAATTAAAAAAGAAAATTTACTTCTCGTTTTTGATGAAAGAAGTGGAACAACTGGAGTCTTAGTTTCAATTTTCTTGGAAGACTTTTTTTCTAAATTAGTGATTTCTTTTTTTTGTTTAGTAGATGTAATTTCTTTTTTTTTTAATGCTGATGAGACAGATGCAAGTACATATGTTGGTTTAGCGGGAGCTTGAGTTTTTCTAATTGCTGTTTTCGGTTTGGTCACATTAACTGTAGATTTTTTAGAAAGCTCTTTAGCATTAACTTTCTTTTTCACGATTTTTTTATTTGAAGATTTTTTCTGATTACTGCTGTCATCTTCAACATTATCTTCATCACTCTCAGATGATGAATGTCCAAAATCATAAGATGGTTTTTTTTTGGACAATCTAGATGATTTTTTGACCGGTTGTTGTTCATCTGTTGAAACCTTTCTTTTAACAGTCATGCTTTTCTTGCTTCCTTTTTTTTTTGTAAGTTGAGCTTCATCTTTGAACAAACTAACATCCACTAAAAACAACATAATTTGAATAAAAAATTAATATAATAATCTGAGTAATTTGAAGTTCAGTAAAAAAAAAAAAAAAAAAAAAAAAAAACAACAGAGAATATAATTATCAAATATTGGTTGATTTTACTATTTACAAATAACCTGTTAATTATGGATTATTTTATCATTATCAACTAATTTTAATTAGTAAAAAATTATATTTAACCTAATTGGGACAAATCTTTATTTTCAAATCAATTAAAAATAACAACTTCTTCCAAACAATATATCCAAAAATATTTTAGTTTTAATAACTATTTAGGAATTTAAAGTAATATTATACATACAACCATCTGGATGCTCTTCAGTTACTGAGGGTTTTTCTGAACCTTTTTCAACATCAATAGATCGTTTCAAAATATTTTCAATTCTCAATTTTTCTTTCTCAGGTAGTTTCCATTGTTCTTTTTGAATTTTTTTCAATGTTATATTAGTCAGTATACAATCAAACTCTGGAATTTCCAAATTAATATTAAAACTTTTTTTATTTGAAAACAATTTCAGAATATTAAATAAAATTTTTCATTTTATTTAATATATCTCATATATCATTAAATAAGATCCACAGATGATTTATATTTCTTATTTGTTAATATTAATATAAAATGTTTTCTATATATAAGATAAACAATTTTTGAAAATCTGAAAGCAAATTAATTTACAATATATATAAAACAATTGAAATGTTTACCAGTATGGTCATAAAAATCAGGGGTAAATTCATCATTTGGATGTTGAGTAAGCCACCTAATACGGATTCGACGACTTGCTCTATGAATGTTTTGCATAGCTTGACACAAATAAAATCCTCCATCTTCATTTCGTACGGCCAAAAATTCATTTCTAAATTAAAAAGAATGGAGAAATAAATTATTTATATAACATGGATTTATTTATATAAAATTACTTGTAAAACACTGTTAATTTTTCATTATTAATTTTGGGAGATGCCGTTTTTTCTGCAATTTTAGAGATAAGATGCATCTCTGGTAGCAATGACATTTGAAAAGGTTGAGTAGGAAGTCGAGTACGTTTTGATTTTATTTCTTCAACATTTGTATCCTTTTTTGATGTTTTTTCTTTCTTTTCTTCTTCATCTTCCTCCAGTTGCTATAAAATAAGGAAAAAAGGTTTGATGTTAGTTAATTCTAAATAAGTAAAGTATGGAAATTATGAATTAGTTTAATTATTATTTTATTTGAACTTGGTATAAAGTACAATTAATAATATTAAAATATAATTTAATTAATTATTTAAGTTGTATCATAAAGTATTATGAATTATAATTTATTAAATAACTATTTTAATATATTTAAATAAACTAATAAAGTTAAAGAAAAAAAAATTACTCATGCAAAAAATATGACCAACTAACCTAATAAACAATAAATTAAGTTAATGAGGGCTGTGGTAGGTCAAAATATTATATAAATAAAATCACAAGATAATATTTTGGTATAATTAAAGGAATTACTAAGCTTCTCACCAATGAATTTTAACAAAAAATAAAGCATTGTGATCTAATGAACAGTTAAATGTTTTAAAACTCACTTTATGTTCTCTTTTTCGCCGTACAGCAACTTTCAAAGTATTTGATGAAGTTTGATCAACTTTTTCTGATAAAGCAGTCTGCCCTTGGTTTAATGACACTACAGCAGCTTGTATTTCAGTTGGTTCTTGTTTGATTTTACCATCATTTTCTTTCATTTTAGACACTACATTTTCAGATTTAGGCAATTCTTCCGTCTTAATTAATTCTTTTGCAGACTTATCAATCACTTCTGGCAAAACCTTTTCTGTTTGACTAATTGGTAAATTATTTTTATCATCTTTCTTTTGAGATAAATTTTCAACTTCAGATACTTGAGGTTTCACTTCAGAAAGAGAAGTTTCATTAGCACTTTTACCATTACCAGAAATATTAACCAAAGTACGGATGGATTGTGATTCAATTTTAGGCAGGGCTTCTTCAATTTTTTCACCAATTGGTTTTACATCAGGTAAACCATTACAAGCAGCAGATTTTTGAACAATGTTTTCAACGGAAGTCATAACAATTGGTACATTTTTATGTTCATTAACAAGACTTAAAGGTTGAGCTGACTGAGATGTTGTATTCAAATTTAGCGGGGTTAAATTTGGTGGTTGTTGTACTTTAGAAGGCGAAGAACTTGAAATGGTTGGAGGAGCCAAGACAGTTGGCAATGGCTGCTTTACTGGAGAACTCATTGCACCAATAGTATTCATTTTTATTTAGCAAGTTTAATCTGAAAATAATAAATAAATGTAATATGGCAATATTGTTTTTAGATAGTACATATTATTTTTCAGAATCACATTATAAAAGATCAAATAATAAGTGACTTTAAATAAGGATTATCAATACTTTTAAGTCTTAAATGAGATTATACTTTTTACAATCTTGTTAAAATAAATGTACATACATACAAGTTTTAAAAGTATTATTCAATAATATGTTAAAAGTAATCCATACAACTAAACAAATATTGATTTAACTTTTAAATATAATTAATTAGTAGTTGTAAACATACATGTCTACTTCTTCTAACATTTAGTAACAATATATTATTTTCAATCATACCGCAACAAATACATATAGGCAATAGAGAAAATGATTAATGAACATAATTATTGTATTATACATAAAATAAAATTTTATAACATGAATAGTGAAAAAAATTTATAATAAAAATTATCAGACTTATTTAATATTACAATTTTTAATCAATAAATCACAAATATAATAATTTTCAAGTCATGACAATATTTCAATGTCTAATTAAATAATATCAACCAATAAACAATGTCAGTCATACCTAATTAATATATTTTAATTTTTACAATGGAATTTTATTTTCATATAATTTAAATATTTTATCTTATCTTTAATTGTAGTAGATAGTTTTTATGAAATAAATATCATTAAGATTCTTTAATAAATTAAAGAAAAAAGTTTAAATGATATAAGAATCTAATTAAAACTAATTTATTATTATTAAAACTAAACTTTGTTTATACAAATTTAATTGTTGGTAATACACGATATACATTTTAACATTACTTACAGTGAGATAGAAAATGGTCAAAAATGTTAAGAATATCAAGATTATTTACATTATTAATTAATCCATAAAAGCAGTATTTAGTTCAATATTAATAGGTACAAAATAATAACAATTGATTTGAAAAAAAAACAGTGAATCATATCAGTACATAATCAATACAAATTAACTATGACCATATCTTTAACTCCCTCTCACTTTGCCAAATCATTATTTCAGTTTTTGGACACTAATCAACTGGCTTGCCAGAAGTCATTCAGACTATGCCAAACTATTATGCGAGGCAGGTAGATTATAGACTAATAGGATGACATTGTTTATATTCGTGAAATGTCCATACGCAGTCAAGTGAGGATACTGGGTAAACACATTTAAGGGTCATCAGTAACGTCGCGTTTAACACAATACGACTACGGCAATTATATCCCGGTAGCGACAAAACAATAAAAGTATTAAGACAAAATAATCCATGGAGTAAATATATTGCATTTACCTTAGCGTATAGTTTAGCAACGGTTGACGTGCAGTACTTTTTGGAACCAGAGAATAATTCTCGGCGTTCCGCCCATAACAGCCAATACCGATAACTAAAATACAACCGATCGTTGACAACGAGTAGAATATGGAGACGACAATATTTATGCTGTACAACTGAGATTACACTACAATTATGTTAAAATGAGTGTTATGAATTACAAAGTTGCGACAAAAAAAAATTGTAACACACGCCACAGGAAGAAATAATAACTAATTGAACCACTTCGCAAATATAACAACAAACGAATCAACAAACCCGACTCTTCGATGGCGTCAGTTCGACAACAGTGTATCCAATCCTGTCCTTTTGAGAGGCACGCTAATCCACGTGTTGCCCACACTGTATTAGCAGGACGTGTATTTTGTATATATTATATACCTATATATATTATTTATGATGTCATAAATCATATTCACCATAAACCTATAATACTGGCAAGTGGTGTTTACTGACGTAAAATCGTAAAGAATTAACAAAAAACATGCTTTGTGCGTGCGGCAACCCGCAGGCAATCGGCCATGTTCCCTACGGGTCCGTAGGTCACAAAGATATAACAGGTTACAGGTGTCAATACAATACATATTATTCACCGGAATACCACTTTTCTATAACACAAATGTTCAATACTCATGCCCGTTCGGCATTTAATATTTTAATGTACATGTCTGAAAGAAGTGCAGTTTTGATCCAGCGGAACCCATAAAAATTACTAGGTCTGCTATAATTCAATATATTTCATTTTTTTCTTCGCAACTACAATAACAGTTTTGAGTTTTCATGATGTATTCAAGTGTCATGCTTAAGAGATTGACCAACCTCAATTTCTTTAAAGTAATAAATGTTCAACTACCTATTAATTATTAATTTAATTCTTAATTTATGATTAAGTAAAAAGATCAACTAACTATCACCCTACAAATGAGTTTATATATCATTTACATTAACAAATTTCTTGAATACTTTCCGTTGAGTAAGAATCAAATTTTGTTTATATAAAATTATTCTCAAAATGTAAATCATCCAAATATTCAAAATGTTATCACCGTCTCAGTACAAATCACAGACATTCTAAAACGGCATTAATTGTTTTACATATTTGTAGTACAAACATAACTGCATAAATTTACCGTCGTCGTTTAACAGTTGGAAATATTTTAACTACCAACCTAAATTTTACTCGACACAATGATTAATTATATTTTTAATTTAATTAAATTAGAAATAATACAATACTTTATTTATCTTAGTATTTTATTCTAATAACGGTAGAAGTTATATCTTAAATCGTGGTTCAAACCTACGAAAAAAAGTTAATAAATTACCTATTAATTATTAAAATACCTATAATAAATTATTTACTAACGAAATATTTTAAGTAAGTAGGTAAATTGTTATAAATTAAGATTGCTATACGTCCCAGAAAACCGGGATTGTCACCGGTTTTGGACTTCGCGTTCCGGTGTCCCGAAAAATGTTTTCGAGACGTCCATATGTCCCGGCTTAGTCGTTTAGAGGAAATGTAGTATTGTTTAATTTTTAATTTCGACCACTTTATCTCAAAGTACATTTTTAATCGTAATCGATAAACAATGTATTATAAAAACCCAAGTTGTAATTTATACATAAAAGAATATATAATAATATATTTTATTTCACAAAAATATTTTTAAATATTATATTGCTGACCATTAATAATCCTCTTCAGGGTCGTATGCATAAATTTTGTATTCATTTGTAAACAAATCATTATTTTTTTACATTTCTAAACCTCTCACGCTAGGAACATTATTTTATAACATTTAAAAAAAGGTCTAGGAAGGGTCTGACCCTCACATTCCCCCCTGGATATACCACTGATCCTCTCAATATATTAAAAGTTATATAAAAAGTATATTACTCAATAATGTGTTTGTTTTGTCCCGGTTTCATCTTATAAATTTATGGCAACCCTATTATAAATGCATTGTAAATATATTTATGAATATTTACAACAATTATAATACAAATAATATGTTTATAATTTATAGATCTAATACCATAAACATATTAAATATTGAGTTTTCTTATGTGCTCCTATAAATGTAATGTTCTTAACCTTCCAGTTTTCTTGCTAAATAAAAATTCCGTGATTTTGGGATATTCTTAAGAATGTTAAAATCAACAGGTTGTCTATGATAGTAAAATTAAATGCAAATTAATTATTTTTTAATGCACATAAAATGTTTTAAATTTTATTTTTAATTTTAAAAATATATTTATTGTTACTCATTTATTTTTTAGAAACAATATATGTTATATAGTTCCATATCTGGTAATATCCAAGATTTATCATATCGAGGAATCAACAAAGTTAATTTTATTCCTACATTAGATATAAATGAACCATCTTTAAATTCAATGCCTATTTTTAGAATATTAGATGATAACGGAGATATTGTGAGCAATTGTAATTCTGTACCTGTTATTGTAAGTAAAATATCAAAAAATGTTTATTTCACTTAGATTCTTCGTGTGATTCAATTCAATTAATATCGATTATTATAACTCTTTGGTTAATATTGAAAATATTTAAATGCAGATACCAGAAAATGATGAATTACTCAAAATGTATAAATCAATGGTTTTATTATCCATTATGGACAAAATTTTGTACGAATCTCAAAGACAAGGCAGAATATCATTTTACATGACCAATGAAGGTGAAGAAGCTGCACAGATTGGTAGTGCAGCAGGGATACATTTCAATGATCAGGTCTATGGCCAATACAGAGAAGCTGGTGTGTATAGGAAACCAGTATATTATTATAAAAATAATAAATAAATATTTGATATTTATTTAGGAGTCTTACTATTCAGAGGATTTACTCCTGAACAATTCATGAATCAATGTTTTGGCAATATCGAAGATCTTGGTAAAGGAAAGCAAATGCCAGTGCATTATGGATCAAAGGATCTTAATTTTGTAACACTTTCATCTCCTCTTACTACTCAGTTACCTCAAGGTAAAATTTGTTTTCACTATTTAAATGAATAAAATGCTAAAAATAATATTGAAATTTTAAAGCCGTTGGAACAGCATATTCTTTTAAACTGTTAAAAAATAATCGTTGTACTATTGTTTATTTCGGTGAGGGGGCTGCAAGTGAAGGAGATGCCCATGCTGCATTTAATTTTGCATCCACTCTTAACTGTCCCATAATTTTTTTCTGGTAAATTAAATATTGGTTAATATACTTTTTGAAGATAATATTATTACTTTATGTATAGTCGTAATAATGGATTTGCTATATCAACACCGGCTAATGAACAGTATCGAGGGGATGGTATTATAAGTCATGGTCCTGGCTATGGAATAGCTACTATTCGTGTTGATGGCAATGATATTCTTGCAGTTTACAATGCGACATTAAAAGCTCGAGAATATGTTATGACCAATACAAGACCATTGATTTTGGAAGCTATGACCTACCGGTATTTTTTATTTATAATTTACCTCATGATAAACATTGTAATAAATACTTTTTAATTAAAACATTTATAATATTTCAGACGTGGGCATCATAGTACATCTGATGATAGCACTGCATATAGATCTAAAGATGAAATTGAACAATGGGCAAATAAAAATCCAATTACAAGATTAAAAAAATTTTTAGAGAAAAAAAACCTTTGGAATGATCAATATGAATTAGAATATACCAAAGATACTAAAAAACAAGTAAACAACATCAATATGATATAAAAATTATTTTACAAAGTATGTACTCTTTTATTTAAGATTATGCAAATGTTTGCAATTGCATCAAAGAAAAATAAACCAAATTGGAAAGAAATGTTTAATGATGTTTACTATGAAATTCCAGATCATCTGCTGTAAGTATTTTTAGTATATTTATATGAATCATATAAGGTTCATTTTCATTAGTATTTTTTAAATTTTAAGTTATTTAATATTATAATATAACAAACTAATTTTTTTTAAATATACACTACCCTTAAAAAATGTTCTTCTAACACTAGTGGTCATCATACATGTGTGAATGAAATATAAACACAGCATTTCATCTATATAATTGAATCGCTTATTACAGAAACTCCGTAAGAGACAGAAATTTCGAAACATATTTTTCACTTAATTGTATTTTTTGTATTACATAACATCACTTAGGGGTTTCTGCTCCAAACGAAAATTTCAAAGATGCGAATTGGCCACGTAAATAAGACGGGGCTTCTGCAAAAATCGATGTATCTACTAAAAAGATATAAGCAAGTGGAAAATAAGGTTTCAAAATTTTTGTATCTTATGGGGTTTCTGTAATAAGCGATTCAATTACTAGATAAAAATGGCATTATTATTAACCTGCACATATGAGCATACTAAATTGATCTCCTCATGCTTGGTATACTGGTATTTATATTAATATATTCAAGTATCTAGTATTAATGTTTACAACTTGAATAAATTCTCTTGACCAATTTATAGATTCACCCCAGATTACAAATTTGATAATATAGAAATTGGACTGATAATTTTAACATAATATAATGTTTTTTTTTTTTTTTTAGGGAACAAATGAACTCATTGGAAAATCATATATCACATTACCCTGAACATTACGTAATTGAATAAGTTATCCACATTTGAACTCAATAAATGAATAGATTTTTTAAGATTGTTCTTCTTGGTTGATTTTATATTACCATTTCAATTAAAATTTTAAATCATTGTATATTAAATAGCAAAATATACATATCATATATTTTTTATATGCTCTTGTTTTACATACATTTATTCATGAAATATGTATTGGATTTGATAATTGGACTAAAAAATTATTTATTTATTTAAAATAAATAATTCAAATTAAAACTATACAACTTTATATACACAGTGTCTATCATATAAAATGTTTTGGGCACATTTTTTTTTTTGCTCTTAATCTTTAAATCATAATAAAATACACAAAGAAAATTTATATTTTTATGTAACTTGGTCAGTAGAAATAATTCTTTTGAGGAACAAATTTAAATAGAGTAACAATTACATTTGGATGAGCACATATTATTTAAATGAAATATTATTAATTCACTTATTAATTGAATTAAATTTTAATTATTATTTGAAGAACCTTTAACAGTTTTCTCTATTGGCTAGAAAGAAAAAAACAGGCAAATTCTATTAGAATATGATAAAGAGTAAAAAATGGATTGTTAAAGAAATCTCTGAATCTTATTGTGTTTAATAAGTAAAATGAAAGGCATTCCAATAGGTTACTAATTTTGAGAATAAAAAGGCGTACATTTATGAACAAAGACTATTTCAAGCTTTCATGTAGTAACTATTATATGATAGGAATCAAAAAAAAATCACTCATAAACTACACATCCTTAATTATGACTATTTGATAACAAAAACTTGATGTTAATTGATAACAAATTTGAATTTTTCATTAAAAAAAAAGAAAATATTAATAATAATATATCTGATACTGAATCATGTCATAAATATAACCACAAGTTGTATTATTTACATTTGTCAAATTTCAAGCTATACGCTAGATACAGCATACCCATGTATCATCAATTTTTCATAAGCTATACGTCATGGATAAAAATAGCGTATTGGGTATACGTCGTATACTTCCGTATACCCTCCAATATACCACTGATGATAGGTAAGACAAAGCAATAAAAAAAGGAATCAAATACATAACAAAATTAATAATAATTACAAAAATCACTTAGATTTATTTGATATTTCATTTTGTGTAATGTGATAATAGTTACCACAGTAATAGTTATATTAAACAATTAAAAAAATAATAATTTCCCTCATTTTTACTCAATATTATATTTTACATTTCATCTTAGCTATAAGATATCGTTAAAATTTGTATGTACTTGCATATTTCTATTTTGAAAAAATGTTTTTCCATACTCAAATGTGGATACCATTATTGCACATGCAGGTGCTATTTTGATAATCCGAGGAACTAAACCACTGAAAATGGCACGCATTCCATTTTTTTGGTATATTTCAACAATTGCTTTAACTGTCCAACCGGAAGCTTTTCTTGGAGGTTCTAAAATAACTTCTAAGTCTTTTATTTATTCAAATATATAATAAAATTATTGCATTATTAATTGATTTACTAACCAGTCATAATTTCCTTTTCAGTTAATTCAATTTGTCGAATGGTTTTAACAACATCAAACGGTGTAGTTAATGCTGCAGCCAACTGAAATATTACAAAAATAATCATTATCAAATTAATAAAAACTATTAATAATAATCTTTTGTATTTTTTTTTTTTATATACTCAAAAAGAAATTAATATATATATATAATTGTATTATAACTAAGAATGCAATAATTTACTAACAAGTTATAAATTACAATAGAAAAAATAACAAAAATGTATATATTATATTTATATATATATTTACAAAATGTAAGATATTTATAAAATGGAAATTATATTTAACAAAAATATATTAAGCCAATTCTTTATAAAAATAACCCAATTAAAAAAAAAAAGAGCACAAAACTAATACCTTAGTAAAAATTCATAATCATGATATTAACAATTGAATTAAATATATTACCGTTCCAGCTATACTTCCAGCCATAAAATTGTACATAAAAGTTGTTGATTGACCAGATATTTTTTTAATATGTTCATATGTTACCCAATAAATACCTAAACAAATAATATTTAATAAATAGTAATAGATTTATATGTCATATTAATTTAATTTTCTATTTATTTATATGAAACCTGAAAATGATTTAAAGCCAAAATTAGTAATAAAAAATGTATATCTAATGATACTTCAAGCTATGAATTATGATTTCTTAACAATATTATATTATAAGATACATAAATGAAACATTTGGTTTAAAATTATTTAAATACTTTTTTTTATTAATATTTTCTGAGAAATTTTTTTCAAATAAAAATATCATGCATCTACTCTCTAAATAGGTTAATACTTTTTTTGCCAACGTTTATAACAATTAAATTAATTTACTTTCTCAATGATGTGGTTGGATTATTGGAATGTAGAATTTCAATAGCATATAGAATATATCTGATTATTGATAAAAATAATATAATTATGTGATTCCCTAAAATGTTTATAAATCTTTAGTAAAATACCATTTACACAGCAAATCAAACTCAATATTAAATAACTATATTCAACATAGGTTTCTTATAACAAGGAAAATATTTAATTATGTGGTTATAAAATATTAAAACTAAAGGAAGTCAGAAGTTTGCCAGTTGTCTAATCATTGAGTTAGTAATTGAGGAGTGAAAAGATTTGATTAAGTGGTCTGATATAATTACAAATTGTTTTCCATTCAAAAATATTACCATTATATTACATGATAACAAGTGGATAGTGATATTTTAGATTGTTATATTATAAATTACATTTATACTTATTAGAAATTTTGTCTTTAAATTAAAACTATTACCAATAAATTTTATAATTATAAATATGATTATTTTAAAAATAAAAATAAATTAAATTATATAAAATACCCGGCTTACCAGAAAAGGGGACATCTCTGAGTAAGGTAGAACCAAGACCTTTCCAAAGACCCTTATAACCATGATATTTTAATAAACTTTTTAATGCTTGATGAGCTTCCAAATAACTAAGTTTTTTTGATTGCATTTTAGTGCGTATAAGTTCTAAAGGGCTAACTGAAGTAGCCGCTCCAAAACGAGCAATACATCCTGATACACCAGAGATCCATAATAAATTATTATTATTTGTATGGGATTCTGTTAAATCTTGGAGGTAACAACGTATTTGTTCATATGATACAAAATAAATAATTGTGGCAGGTAATGCGAGAACTAATGTTGGACTTAATCCACTCCATAATGATAATATACCTTCATTTCTGCTAATTTTTTTAAAGGCATCCTAAACAGTTAATAATTACTTCATGTAAGTATTAAAGTAATTTAATTAATTAAAATATTATTACAAGTGTTCCATTAAACTGAGTAGGTCTGTCGAACCATTGAACATTTCTATAATAAGGACCATTGGTAGAATTTTTTTTAATTTCATTACATGGACAAATATGATCCATTAAGCCATTAGAATAAAAAAAACATTTATGTTTTCCGGTTATTCTGCTTTGGGCTTGCATGCGTACTTTTATGACATCTAAAGGCGTAACTAAAAAAATATCATAATATTAGTTAAAATTATAACTTTTTAAATTATGTATATGTAAATAAATAACTAACCAAGAAATGAAGTTATTAAAGCTCCTGTGCAAGCAGCAGCCATTTGTTGCACTGGAGTTATTCGAAAACGAGGATCATCAATATGACTGAGTTTATTGAAAGAGTAACTTTTAGAATTCATATTTTAAAATTTTTTAAATAAGACTTTATCTAAAAAAAAATGTCAGCATTTACATTTAAAAAAAATGTATATCAGAGAACATTAATTCTTCTAATAATTGTTCATATAATATGAATAATTTATTCATAATTATTGTAAAAAATGTATACAGATAAAAGTTTACAATCATTAAATACTTATACTTATGAACTTCAGAAAGTAAAGAAAAAAACAAAAGATATCTAGTTTATTTAAGGTTTAATAATAACTTAACTTAAAAAAATAAAATCTAAGGTAAACTAAGGTTTTTTAAAATAAAAATTCAAATATTTTGATAACTTAACAATAAGTACAAATTAAATTAGGTCTTACAAACTAAACACAGATCGATTAAGTATACGTTGATAACAATAATTAAGTACTTAATTATAATACATACTCATTACTCAATATACATTTATTTTGTACAATCATGAGTTTGAATATCTGATATTTTTTTTATTTTAATTTTTTTTTTTTTTTAATCACCGGATAATCAACGGAATAAATTCATATAAAAATGATAACGCAAAGATAAAATTTTGTTTCATTCATCAAATTCGAAACAGAAGTTCGTCACATAGATTAAAATTGATCAGAATAAAACAGCTAAAGATTGGCTACCCCAATAATATGAATAAAAAACATAAATATTGTTTTTAATTCCTATAACCTATACAAGTACCATTGATGTATATCACACTGTTTAAAATCAAAACTATGAACCGGTCGGCGCTTTGTGTCTTCTCTTTTGGAATGGACTATAGTAGATATTGAATGACGATTATATAGTGACAACAGAGATTAATTAAATTTCACCTTCACGTGGTGATAATAATAATCGATAAGTGTAAATAAAATTATGAACAGTGGTCACAGTTATAAATAACCAAAAACCTAACCACAAGATGAAAGCAGTTAGATTGCACAATACAATGCAATAACGAATGAACCTTCAACAACCTATTAGAATTTTTTTTGGTATACAAAATATAATATAAATAAAAGATAAAATATTCAACCAAAATATGAAGTCAATAAGAAAAACAAAAAATATATCATTTATCAAGGTGGTGGATATAAAGAAAATGGTTCAAACAGACATTTAAAATTACGGCTGGGGTATATTCGCACACTTTATTATAAAATGTTATTTACAACTTTCAAGCAAATTAATAAAATGCACATAATTATTACTGAATCAAATTTAAATGAATCTAAATTTACACTATTATTGCATTCATATGATTTTCGTTTATAAATAAGAACAATTGAAATAAATAAATTTTAGGTATAAAAAATTTAATAGAATTTAGCGAATGTTATTGGTATAGAAATAACTAAAAACCGTAAAGCAAGAAAACAAACAATTAGAGTGAATTCTTAAGTGTCTTCTGTATAACTGTGGCATTAGGGTAAATGTACATAAGTTATAAATAGCAACTTTTCAGGAAGACAAATAATACATTCAAATTATTTGTGTAAATATAATTATTTAATTAAATATCTTCTTTTAACATTTTTATATATTTTAAACAACTCACCTTAGATTGCATTAATTAAAATTTTTGTGAAAAAGAAATTTGCCCAAAAATATTAAATTTAAATATTTTTTTGACATAAAAAATGAGTAAAAGTGCATAAGTTTAACGAATATCTCAATCCTTTATTTAATTTCAATATTTATTTTATAACTTGTAAATTTAATGAACAGCTAAAAACAGTTCGATAATAATAGTATAAGTATAATAATAACATTATAGCACTAAGACATATTAAAAAAATACCTTGTTTAAAAAAAAAAATAAAATAAAAATAAAACTTCAGTCTCAATTTAAAATATGTACCTACCTATAAAAACAAAATAGTTGGGTACAATAGAACTAGAATAAAACAATTTAAAAATTCATAAAATAAAATAATAACTACTTGTCTCAATTTTAAGTTATAGTTATTATAACTTCCTAACAAAAAAATTAATTCATTTTACACTATAACATTAAAAATAGTAAAATAAAAACAATAGAACCAAAGAAATTTCACAATTTAAATGTTTAACTTAAGTTTTATATTAAAATAATTGACATCCAACAAAATAAAATACATAGCTAAAATATGTTATTTTTGAAATAATTAAATATATAAATTGAATATTGTATTAAGACTTCAATTTAATCATTATTACTTTATAAATTATCAGTCAGTTTCAAAATTAAATTCTTCCAGATCTGGATTAATATCACTTTGTTTTTGAGTTGTGAATAAATTTTCATAAAATGCATGATAAATAGGGTCTATCAAAGGAAGTAGAGATCTTTTTTTCTTTTCATTTCTAATAGGTAAAGGACCAGTATAACATTTTTGTAATTGTAATTGTTTGGGTGTCTTTCCTCTTTTGGAAAAATGTATGGTATTGAAAAATTCATTACCATTTAAAGTATTTTTGTATAAAACTAAACCAAAATTTTTACTATATTGTAGCTACTGAATTTCTTGCCAAATGACTAGGTCGCCATTTGTATTTTTTTTTTAATTTGTAAGTTTCTCTTTAAAAGGAAAGCAAAATCAATAAAACCGTACATATTACTGGGGAAAATATGATTCAATTCTAGCCACCAATCCAAACGATTTCTTAAAATTGTTTCCACAACCTTACAAAAAGCCGAAGAAAGGGAGATAGGATGAAAACCCTCGCCATTGGGTTTGGGAATCGGGAAAACCTTGAATTCTTTCCAGGAAGGAGGGATCAAGCTGTTAAGCCATAGACGGTTTAAAATATTAAGAAGTAACGGATAGGCATCTTGTGGTAGATGTTTAAGAAATAGTGGTGAAATAAAGTCAGGCCTGGAGGCTACAGAGGAACGGTGATTTATGGCAGGCATTAATTCGACTAGCGTGAATGCGTTGGATAGAATGTGAGGATGTACTGAAGTGGAGACGATATCAACGGGGGAAGATTCTGCAAGGGATGGAACATAAGAAGGGGCAACCTTTGAGCAAAAGCTTGGAAATCAGTCGTCATTAACAGGGTATCTATCCGAAGGGAAGGTGCGTTGTGAATTTTTAAAACGTTTAGTTATTGACCAAAATGAAGAAATCGAAATGGATGGGTTAACAGAAGAACAAAAATAATGCCAGGACTGTCTTTTGGCGGAATTAAGGGTGATACGTGTGGAGGCTTATACCCTTTGTTAAACTAAGAAATCATTTATGGAATGACTTCTACGAAATGTACGAAAAGTTATAGCGCGGTTTTTAACTGTGACCGTACAATTGTTATTCCACCAAACAGGAGAAGGACGGACAAATTTCGAAACTTGTGAATTATTTTTACGAGAGATAGCTACTGATGCAGCTTGGAACACCATATTGGAGAACCATTCGAATCTATTTATAAAATGTTGGTTATAAGTAACGGATTTATATGTAAATACATATTTTTATTAAAACGAAATATTTAAGATTAGATAAGAAATGTTCATGATTTAAATCATTCCTATTAATATGATGCTACTTTTATTTTACACATTTCACTAATTTGTAAATATTTTTAAACATATTTTATCATTTTATCATTCATACGTCTTTTTCGTACAAAAATACAAGAAATTATTTCAAATTTAGATTCAGTAACTTCTATCGCTATTAGAAAAGCTCAAATTATTTTGCAAAATGAAACATTGAAAACTAATTTAAATTTCATCTCAGTGAATTTTAGTTTTATTGCACATACATTTACAAAATTATGTCCTTAAATGAAAGTATGCAAATTGTCGAATCAACGATTGCAAAATGAAAACTCGTAAGTGGACCAATAGGAGATGTTGTAAAAAAGAAAATTCATGCTGTTACAGAAAAAAATTCCAGGCTATTTTGATTTTAGATCAATCAATGATATAATGAGTGGCAGACGCCCTTCTAAAAATTTGGAATTATCGACTTCTGATATAATGCGCTTCAAATATGCTTTAATCAATCGATATAGGTTGATGTGGAACGATCATTTAGCCGTTTTAAAAATATTTTCAGATCTAATAGGTGACATTTAATATTTGGTAATTTAAAACATTTTAATAATTCAATGCAACAAATCATCTTGATAATTTAATAATTATATATATATTTTTTTTTTTTATTAAATTTTTATCCTACATATTTGGATGTTTTTAGCACATATTTTTGTATTTTTATTACATATAAATCCGTTCCCTAGTTATAAGAAATTCAAAGAAAAAAATTATATATTTAAAAATGACAATATTCCTTATACTTTTATATTTTTCGTCAACTTATGTTTGTGAAATCTTATTCGCCATAATAAATTTTATTAAATCGAAAAAAAGAAATGTTTTGACTAATGAAACAATTGATGCTTGTGTTTCACTAAGAATAACTAAAATTTAATAAAAATAATATAATAAATCTGTAATTTTATTTTTATTCTTTGAAATTATAATTTTCTTTAGGCATGAACGATATTCAAAACCTTATTAGGAAAAATTTGGTTCTTGAACCAAACAAGGTTTGCTACCCCTGTTCTAGAGAATACATATTAAACTTCGTTATACACTCGGTCGTTAAAGGTATTTTTTATATTATTTTCCGTCATCTAAACAAAAATAAATGTTAAAACTATAAATAACTGGGACCCAAATATTTCTTATAAAAAATACCAGGAAGGTCAATTATTGTTATTGCTTTGATATTTTATTAACATGATAATGACATATGCAGTTTAGTAACCACAAATTTTTTATTCTCGAATACTCAAATTTTAAATTGACTTGACATAAAAAAATCAACAATCGTTCAACTCTAGTAAAAATTGAATTTTAATTTGATTAATAATACATTTTAATATATAGTGTATATATATTTTTAATTAATTTAATGTGCTGTTACAAATTAAGAACATCTTACATTTATTAAAAAAATTGTATTTATATAAAAAAAAAATTATAAAATATTCTAGAAAACTATTTCTCATAAATACAGAAATATTTATATGACATAATAGCTGAGAAAATTAAATTTTTTTAGCTACATGATAACATTCTTATGTACTTAATAAGTTATGACATATGTTAGTGAAAAATTGCATTTAAGTAAATTCATAGGATATATAATTCATAAAGTACAAATGTGCAAATTACATCAACATAAGTATTATTTATTACAATTTCAATAAAATATCACATTTCATTACAATAATATGGACGGAATGTAAATAATATTTAATTAAGGTTGAATATACCCTATAAGAGATTAAATATTAAAGGTGAAAATAATTGAATTTAAAATCAGTCATTTGCAAAGATTACAAATAAAAATTATAAATGTTTAAAAGAATATAGCCAGAAAAAAAATGTTGCATTAAAATTGAAAAAAGTTTTAAATATTACAATTTAATCACCTTTATATTTTTTGCTTATATAGAAGCTTTTTGCTTAATAATTAATAATTTATATTAAGGCAGTCAGTATGTAACTAAACAAAAAAAAAAAAAATAAATAAAAAAAAAAATGAGATTCAAACAATTTATAAAATTATAGTCATTGGTAATAAGATAAATACTTCTTATCTAGTATAAAAATAATTAATAATACAATATTAAATTTAAAAAATATGTAAATGTATATGAAACAATATAAGAATTATATAATTATTGAAAATTTAATAATTAATATTTGTATAAATTTAAATTATCCTATAAAACAGCTATAGTCTACGGCTAAAAACTAAGGTATAACTGGTTAGTAAATATTCACAAGAAAAAAATTGCACATAAATAAACAAACTTGTATACTATAAAAAAATGTGTTAAAATAAGAAAAAAAAAATTAGATAAAAATAAGGTATTGAAAATGTTTAAGAATTAAAAAATGTTAAATAAAAATCATGTTTAATTATAGAATTATATCATAGATCAATAAATCATACAATTTAATTATATTGTAGAGGGTTTCATTCAATTTAATAATAAGAATAATAATAAATTGTACAAGAAAATATGATTTAAATCAACGGTTCTTAAACTGTGGTACGCGAAAGACTATAAGATGGTACGCGGAAGGCCGTGATAGAACGGAAATTAAAAATTTGATATTTAACTCTTATATTAATTTAAAAATACAAATACATTTTTATTAATAAATAAATAATAATTTTACTGTAGTATTTTACTGCCTTTATGTTTAAAATAAATGTATTTTATTATGTAAAATTTATATGGTTCTATTATAAGTGGTACATTACTGATAATATATTCAAGTGGTACGCGAAAAAAAAAGTTTGAGAACCGATGATTTAAATTATATAAACCATTCTCGTTTTTTTTGTACTTGATGTCCAGTAGTTGAATGGATGACAGCATCATCTGGATCCAATGCTATGTCAGCTCCACGATCTTCTTGAGTTATATAATCACCTTTATGACGAGCTACATATCGACCAATGAAAAACGCAATTATGAGAATTGCTATCAAAATTATAGAAAAAACTCCTAGAAATAAAAGTATAATTTAAATATATATATATATATATAGGGAAATTTTTTTAAATATTTGAATATTTACCACCAATTAATGCAGAGTTTGTTTCATGATATGCAGCCCTGACTTTATCCTCATCTAAAACAGGAGGTGGTCTTGTTTCTATTATTGGTGGTGGATGTGTAACAGGTTCAACACCACAAAAATCTTCTTTAATAGTAGCTAGAACATTTTAATTTACTAATTTATGAAAATTGATAAAATAATTTTGTTGTGAATTTGAAAAAATAAGCATTTTCTGCAAGTGTTTGGTGGGGATAAGGAAGTAAGATTTAGTTAGGTTTATGAGTTAAATATTTTTATTTATTTATTTCTTTTTTATTAAAAAAAAACTGAAAATTTACAATCTGTATTGCAACACAACACAATAAGTAAAAAGGATAATTGACATAAACATATACATAATAAAAACAATGCATGAAATACATAATGAGGGGAAACATCCAACGATGAAACTCTGCGGTAATTTTTTTTTTTTTTTTAGTTTAAATTAATTTAATTGGTCACGGCACCAGCGTCTCTTGAGGTGGTATGGTGGGTCCTCAGAAAGGGTACGTGATGATAGATGGGACACTAAAGGGTTGGTATGGCTTTGCAGTTTAGAGTGAAATCTATTATAATATAATTTGGCTAGTAGGTCGACTGTTACAATTTTTAGATATTTATGAAGGGTTTCATTTGTTACATACCAGGGGGTTGAGGATTTTAATCGGAGTGTGATGGACTGGGAGGCTTGAATGGTACAGACTTGGGAATGTTTGGCGCTTCCCCAGATTTGGATGCCGTACGCCCAATGGGTCTGAGTAGAGACTTATATCTTGTGGATTTCGTGTGATTGGTAATTTTGATTTTAAAATGGGCAGATGAAAGTCTAAGCAGATGAAGGTGGTTATTCAGAATTTTTATACTTGGACTTTAATTGTTGGCCCCAGGTTAGTCTTTTGTCTAGTGATATTCCTAGATATTTTACATGATTTAATGAAGGAATTTCGACTCCTTGGAGTTGAAATGGGAGGAGGTTATTTTTTCGAAGTGTAAATGGTACATGGAAGGATATTTTGGGATTTATTAATATTTTCCACTTGGTTGCCCAGGTGTTTATTAAGTTGTTGTGATTTTGGAGATAAGATGAAGCTTGGATGGGATCTGAATTGGAGGCGAGTATAGCTGTATCATCAGCATAAGTTGCTATGGTCGTGTTTGTTGATTTTTGGAATGTCTGATGTGTATATATTAAATAAATCGGGTGACAAGTCACTTCCTTGAGGAACACCGGCAGAGATTGGAAAGTAGGAGGATGTTGAGTCACCTTGTCGAACTGCAAATGTACGATCACAAAGGTAGGAAAGGATTATGAGGTAGTAAGGTGCTGGGAGAAATGATTTAAATTTGTAGAGTAGGCCATCGTGCCAAACTCTATCGAGTGCTTGGGCCAAGTCTAAAAAAACCCCGGGGCAGTATTCTTTGTTTTCAAATGAAGTTTGAATTTTATCAGTAAGTCTGTGTATTTGGTGTATTGTCGAGTGACATGACCTAAAGCCAAATTGTGTATGGGGTATTATATTTTTTGAATTTATTATTGGCCTAATTCTTTTAAGGATCATTTTTTCGAACAATTTTGCTAGAACTGGTAATAAGCTTATAGGTCTATATGATGACTGTAGGTGTTTGGGTTTACCAGGTTTGTGTATTAGTATCACTATGGAAAATTTGCAGATAAGGGGGAAATGAAAGAGTCTCAACATAGAATTGTAGATAAATATGAGAAGTAATAGAGTTTTATTGGGTAAGTGTTGTAATATTTTGTTGGTGATTAAGTCGTATCCAGGGGTTTCCCTGGTTTAAGTTTGCTTATTAAATGTTTAATTTCATTTGGGGTTGTGTGTTTTGCTGGGAAAGACATTGATAATGGACTATTAAGAAATCTAGCAATATAATCGAGGTGAGCTGAGTCGGGATTAATGTTAAAATGTGGCTTAAACATTTTTGAAAGATGAACTCCAAAAATGTCGGCTTTATCTTTGTCTGAGATAGCAAGATCACCATTTGGTCCATTAAGAGGCACAGCACTTTGATTTAAGAATATTTTTGGTGGTTTTTCACAAGGAGCCATCATTTGAATTTAGTGATTGAAATTTTTCTTGGAAAAAATCGGACTTGTGTTTTAAAATGAGTTTCTTAATTAAGTTTGATAGATTATTTAATAATCTTTTGTCAGAAGGCAAGTTAAATATTTAAATTACAAATTAAACTGTTTAGTTTCTATTTCATATTGTGATATCAGAAAAAAAATATTATACAATTGACTATCAAGAAATCGTTAGTTATTATTGTTATCAATTATAATACGAATAAATTCATATTCTATATCAATCAGCCGTTTTATGTGTTCAAGATAAACCATTTTTTTCCTATGTAGAATTTGTAAAAATCTCAGAAAATTTATTGAATTTTATAATGTATTATGTATTAATTTATATGTATTTTAAAACAGGACTAAAGAAATTTTCCGTATTACTGAGGTTTCCGTTTTACCGAAGTTCCGTCTTATCGAAGTTTTAATGTATATATATAAATATAGATGAAATAAAAAAAACTGACAATTTTTTACTGTATGTTTGGTTTTACCACTGGTTAACTCCCAAGCAAAATCTAATCATACTATATAATAAATAAATATTATCAATATAACTTATTTTAAATAAATAATTACAGATTGTAAAAATTAGAAAAAAGAGAAGTTTAACTATGATAAAGTTAACATATTACACTTAAAAAAACTTACTATTCATGCCACTGATATTTGGAGGGCCATCTTGTTGGAATAACAATTTTAAAGGATAAATATCATCAAACTCTACACGTGATATACAACCTACAAAACCTTCAGTCATAGATGTATTACGCCCAATATACATATATTGAATATTGTTAAATTGTGCATCAGTTGATTCTTTGATATTAAAATGGAATTCCTTAGGATCCGACCCATCAACCTTTTAAAAATAAAAAATTAATATTATCAATGTATTATTTTAATTTAAGTATATTCTATATTACCTGCATGATAAGAGTGGAACCAGAATTTTTTCTTCTAATTCTTAAATCATGGTATTGTCCAAGACCAAAATGCTGATCTGGAAAGATTAATTCTTGACGTTCAAATCCAAAATCAAAAACCACTCGTAAGTGACCTGCAAATAATACAGAATAATTTTGATTTAAATAAATTATTGTAATATAACACAATACTAACCGCTATTTGATACCATAATCGTCATATACTCTTTTGAGATATTTGAAAACAGTCCTAATAAAAACCCTTTTGGATTAGTAGTGGTAAAACCTACTCTAATGTTTTCTGATATAGTTGATCTCCATATTCCTTCAAAATCATATCTTATCATTGAATTGGCTTTAAGATTTACACCGATTTCTAAAAATAATATATTTTTATTAAAAATCATCAGAACACATACAATTAGTACATTTATAAATCTTAAGTAATTCTTAAAAAATTGAATTAGAAATATTGTATTTAAAAACTTAAATTACCATCAGCACAAATTGGTCCTTTGAATGCAGTCCACCGGCAGTCACAAGTATAACCATCATATTTTTCAAAACATGTTCCATTGTTAAGACATGGACTACTATCACATTTACCAATGCACCCAGGAGAAATACCATACAACCCTTTTTCAGCATATGATTTTAAATCTATTAGTTTTCCATTTAACATAAATGCTCTCATACAACCGATGAAACCATTTTGTTCATCAGATGATGCTCCTAAATTAACAAATTTTTTTAATGAGTTTAACAAAAATAATATAAAAATTGTTATTAACAATATACCAATAACTAATTCAGATGTTAAATGTATTGCTCGTGCTGGACCTGGAGGTTCTTTTACTGATTGTTTTAAAGCACCATTTACTATAATTCTACTTTCTTTTCTGTATTTAAATATAATTTATTATAAAAAAAAGTAAATTTGAGTAATATGTATTTAGTTTAGATTATAAACAAACCTATTTCTTTCTATAACAACAGAATGCCATATATCATCATTAAGTTTGTCTGAGGTTTCCACACGAACACTTAATGGTCCACTACCGGCTTGATAACTAAATTGTAAAGAATGACCACCTAAAAGCAAAATTAAAATGTATACTTTATTATGTTAATATAAATAAAAAAAAGTCTATTTTCATACTTATAAGTGATAATTTAATATAATCTTTAGGCCCATGACTTTCAAAAATAACAGCGTTTTCAATAGTAGTTTTAAACTCAAAATAAATGTCACCGTTTTGTCCAAAATCATATGTTGGTAAACGAATTTGTGAGTCAAGTTTACGGAATGTAACAACATTGTTGAATAAATCTAAAAAATATAAATACAAATTTTATAAATGTTTCCAATTATCTTATTAAAATTTAAATATGAAAACAGTATTTACCATCTCCTTCACACATCAATGGACCAACTTTAAATCGTCCTTCTTTTTCATCCAAAGGAGTACCAGTGTCTCCAAATCTAACTTGTTTAATAGGCAGGTGTTCTTTTTCTCTGATATCACCACCATCTGATAGCCAACTATCAAAACCTAAGTAGATATTAACACAATTAGAATTAAAACAATAATTAGATAAGTAATTTATTGATTATAAACTCTAATATCATTCCTTACCCGAATCACAATTACACCATTTAGTAGGATCTTTACAGTCACCAATAACACCACACTGACACTTATATGATCCTGGAATAGAACCACCCCAGTAGTCCATTTTTTGATTATGTCTTGACACCCACCATCCAAATGGTCGAAAATCTAATCCATTTGCTTTAAATTATAATATTATATTAATATTTTGAGATAAACAAATTTTTTTTTTTTTTTACCTGGAGAATTAAATAATCTAGATTGTTTGCAAGCATAATTTATTGACTGCCAACATGAATGGGAGCGATTAATAAGAGCTTCTATTTGAAATAGATTTGCATCATAAATGAAATCTTGTTTAAAATTTCCAGGTTCTTGATAACCATCTACAGTAGAATCAACTTCATTCTGATGTCTAACAGTAGTTACTATTCTTCCATCAGCTTGAATGTTTATGAATTTTATATAATGTTATATAAATAAAATTTTAAATAATACATAGAAAATATGAGAGTAAAAAATTTATAAATTATATAGTTACCATAATATTGGCAAGTAACTGGAAACGGCTTTAATGGTCCACTACCATCTACATCTATTTTAATATCAGAACTTTGTCCAACTGGATTAACATTCTTATAAGCAAGGCAAGATAATGGATTTAATGCTATATATAAATATTATAAATAAGCTTTAACTATAAGATATTCAATTCAATTATTTATTTAATTTTAATTTCTTACGTGTTTGACATACAGCACCACTATATCCAGTACTGGCGCAATCGCAAAAAAATTCATCAGCATTTTGTTTACAAGTTCCAGAATGTTTACAAGGGTTTGGATTGCAACGATCAATCATTTGACAAGCATCAAATAATATTTCTTTTTCGCAACAATAACTTTCCTAACATTTTAATTTGGATTATAAACTAAGGTTATTTATAATTTAATAAATCATTGATATTTACTCCTAGCTTCCAATCAGTTGGTAACATATAATTTCCATCAACTGTAATTAAACGCATACATCCAATAAACCCTGCTGTACCATAAATTCCTCCTACAATAAAATGTCCTTGGCTATTCATTTCAAGTATAAATTAATTAAAAAATAAATAATCAGACCTGCAATAAAATAATTTGTTCCAACCATGAATTCTAATTTTCTAATCGTTTGCATAGGTCTATTATCAACATTCAGTTCTAGAAAATCAGTTTTAAGAATTAAAACAACACTGTGCCATTTGCCATCATTAAAACTTTCCTCATAATTGTCTAAGACTACTCGGGTATCATCTTTGGTCATTAACTCTACTTTAATTCGCTCATTTTCTAAATATAACTGTAACCAAGTAAATAATGAAATGTAACAAAATGTTTAAACTGATATAAGAAAAAACAATTAATTAATTAAGATTAATAATTCTTTGAAAAAATTACCTTAACATATCCATTTGATAAAAACTTGTGATGGGCCAATAATCCTCTTGCCTCATAAGTCCGAAATGATAATGATATATTGATTTTTTTTGTTCCTTCGTAACTATTGAGTCTTGCATAAGATGACCGAGTTAAAAATGTAACAGGAATAATAGGAGATTCCTAGTAAAAAGAAATTATATTGTATATAAAAATAAAAACAAAAGTAAAAATAAATTTATAAAGAGTATTTTTGATGTGTGAATATTAATTACGACTGGATTTCATTTAGAAAACATTGTCAGTTATAAAGAAAAAACTCAGTGAAGAACTCCAAACAAGATCTTTCATTTTTATATCATTCATTTAATTGTATTGATATTATTTGTAATTATTATTTATACATTTAATAGAACTTAATTAATATTCAATTTTGAAATTATCAGCCATACCAAACAAGTATATAATGTATTTATTTTTTGATATTTTTGCATCAACCAACTATCACCAGAGTTGTATACTTCTTTTAGTAAAACAATTATATTTGTTGAATTCATAATCAAGTTTTCAATACAGCCAGTGAAGTTTTTATTAATAAATAGACCTTCATTTAAATGTGGCACTCCGCCTATATATATCTATAAAAAGTTATCATAAATAAATATTGTTTATTATTGTTTTCAAATATTTGATTTGTATACTTCACGATTTAAATCCAGTCTTTCAAATTCACCATTAATTCGACCTTGGATTGTAACGCGATCAACAGAAAATACAACATCAAGTCTATTTCTCATTATGATAACTTCATGCCAAATGTTATCGTCTAATAAACTTCCAACTGACAAACTTGTCATAATTTGAGAACCTAAAAATTATACTTGTAGTACTTCGATAATAATGTATTTTATATAAATAAACGCATACCTAAATTAATATTTAATAGCAACCGATTATCTTTAAGCTGTAAAGCTAGATAATCTCCTTGTGATCCAATACCATATAATAAAACTCCATCAGCCACATTAGTTTTGAATCTAAATCTAATTGATTCTCTATGAGCAGATACTGGAGTATCTCTCAAATTCCAACGTACTAATGAAGTACCATTGAAATAAAGATTATCCGAAGCTGAAATAAAAAATAATATTATTTTATTAAATATGTTATATATTTTTAAAAAAAAATTATTAATTACAATATGCACAGCCATAAAGCTCTAATCTTAATGAAATTCTGTCCCTCCATCTAGTTGGATTAATTCTAATCCATTGTGCTATGATTGGAACTTCAAATATATTTCTTGCAGGATCATCTCCATTAATATTACCTCTGAATAACTAAAATAAAATATACAAGTATTATTAATATAATTATACTTAGTTTGTTGTTATTAAAATGTACACAAAATTATTATTTATAATTCAAATATTTTTTAATAAAAACTAATAAAAATAAGATATCATTTTGGTACAGTAAAAACTCTGTTACTGTTGGGACCAGAATTATGATTGTTAATAGAAATGATGCAATAAACGTATATACCAAGGTTACCTTAACCGTTAATTTTTGGTTCAGTTCCATAATTTGTTTTTGAAATTTATTTGTGATAAACGTTAAATCAAGCTATGTTCAACAAATGGTTTTAGATAGTAACATTATAAATTAAATGGTTCACCAAACCAATGGCGGCTTTTTTTTTGTTTGAATAACATGTAAAATTTTTACACCACACACCTAAAAATGTTTAGATAATTATGTGAGTTTATTATCTTTTCCAACCATGGGACACCCACACACCCATTATTTTTGTGAATCACGTGCTTCAAATACACCCCCTTCAAGAAGCCACTACATCGAACAATTTACTAGAAAAATGTTAAAATTGTTTATTTTTGTCTGAAATGTTAGCAAAAAAAACGTAAAATTTTTTTTAAAAACAGTTTTTGAATGATAGACCTAATAAACGTTGTTAAGTTATTCATTATTGTAAATTTAATTAGAAGAACGTTTTGAAATATTACATTCTTGAATATTTAATTAAAAGAACGTTTTGAAATAATATGTTTTTGAACATTTAATCAGAAGAACGTTTTACAGTCATATGTCCTCAAATGCCTTAAAGTTATACGTTCTTGAATAGCGTTTCTATTTCTTGAACGTTCTGAAAATGAATCAGAGGCGGCTCCAGAGGGGGGGGGACACTCTAGGAGCCGCGGCTCTTTCCCAAGCCTGTACCATATTTATATAAAAATGTAAATTGTTAACAAAAATTGCATAATATAATATGTACTATCATACGACACATATGTAGATAGAGCCATGAGGTATAACGGTTGAAAAGAGTTTCTCCACACTTCGGAAACTAAAAACATGGTTTCGTTCAATGATGACTTAAGATAGACTATCAGCATTATGTCTAATTAATGTATGTCATAAAGTAGATATTCTAGAACAAATAGATCATATTATTGATATTTTTGACAATTTTAAAAATAGACGACTTGAATTTGTGTTGTAAAAATTTTTGTTTTCTTTTTATTATAAGATTTTGCAAAATTATAACTTGCCCCCCTCCCTCTAACCAAGGCTTGGGAGCCGTCCCTGAAATGAACACAATTTTGAAGATGACGAAGTTCACATGGGAGAAGAAAACAGTAACAATGTTTCTGAATGTTCTGATGAAGATAATAATAAAATAAATGAATAAGAAAATTAAAATAATTAAGAGACATTGCCTTCAATCTTTAACAATTTGGGTGCAACATTCAATACATCGGAGGTATTGAGGAGTATGCGATGTGCTGCTCATACTTTACAACTATCGATTCTAGATGTAGGTATTTAAAATAGAAAGTATATCAATTATAAACAAATCACGGAGATTGATGATGAGATTACAAAAATATTTGGAAGCTCTCAAGAATATGGATATACTACTATATTATTAAGCTCCGCTCAAACCGATGCAGCAGCGCGGTGGCGTTCGCGGTATTTATCGCTTTTTAAATACCGCTGATCTAATCTAACCGGAGAGCGAAATATTTTGCCGAAAATTACTAGTCGACATTGTAACACCCATGCGCGTATATGTATTTTAGTTATTATTATATTTTTATTTATTAATATTAATATTTTAAAGTACAAAACAACAAATTAAAAATATAATCTTTTTTTTCTCATATCCTTGAATTCTGGAAATGTCATATTATATATGATGTTCTTTAATAATAGCTATTAACTGTTCAATTTAATTGGTCATTTTTATTATAAATAATACATTTTAAACAAGAGAATTATACATTCAAACCAGTAGCGAATTTTGTGGGGGGGGGGCAATGGGGGCAATCCGCCCCCCCCAAGAATTTTTTGACCAAGACAATTTTTATATAAGTAATGGGTATTTTATTAAGAAACAAAAATTATGATTTATTTTATAGTATTACTACATTTGAGAACGTTTCAAATTTTACATTAATTTAAATAACGCAAAACGCTAAATTTTTCATAACGTTTTAATTGTCAATAACGGTAAACGGAAAATTTTTTAAACGTTTAAATTTATATAACGTTTAAACGCTAAAATTGAAGAACGTTAAAATTATTTATAGCGTTAAACGCTCAATTGCTTATAACGTTTATATGTCCCATAACGATAAATAATATATATTATTTTGATTGACCATACTTAGTGAAAAATTAGATAAAACATAAGCGAAACTTTCAAAACAAAGATAAGGTGTTAAAAAAGAACTACATTCTAAGTGGATCCGGTATTAGATTAAAAAAAAAAAAACCACAAATATTAAGGATGCACCTGATATAAATATTACCAAAAATTTTACTTTGAGATTTTGACATTTTGAGCCTGAATTAAAGAAAAAATTTGAGCCCCCCCCCCCTAGAAGTAAGACTAAATGCGCCCCTAATTCAAACACCACGACGTTAGATTCAACTGCAAAGTGTAAACTGCAAGGTGTACGATTACGGTGAATATATATGTGTTTGAATATAAAGTCAAAATATATCATACAATGTAATGATAAGCTTTCTATGGATATTAATATATTAATAATAAAATGTAGATAACTCATAGTTGGGAATTTACAACTGATTATCGCAACGGTAAGCGAAAAATATAGTGTCTGCAGTGAAAAATAAAAATAACGCGCTCAATCTTGCGGTAACGTTTTCGCGCTCGTATTAAAACGTATGGACATTAAATTTCGCTGCCGCTACCACCACCACTACCGCTTCGGTTTGAGCGGACCTATACTCATAATAACTTATTACCAGGGTTGAGATTTTATAGCAATTGCATATTTCTTATGAGATGCTTAAAAAATATCAGAGTAAGCTAAAAATGTGTTTCATGATAAAGAGAACTTAAATAAAAAATTTTATTTTGCTTGTTTTTTGTATATTTTGCGTTTTTTAGTTTATAAATATATAATAATATATAATTTATATAATAATATATTTTTAGTTGTAATCAAAATCGGACATATTTCATGAAATTGTATTTTGCTAAACGTGTTTTTTGATTTTTGTTAATCGAATTTTCAAGATTCAAAATTTTAATTTTAAATTAAATTATAAATGTATAGATTAAGTAAATTGACCGATACACTGATGCAACTCTATACAATTACAGCGATAATATATAGGTAGGTATAATGTAATACAATAATTTCGTTTTAGTTATTTGTTCTAATTTTTGTTATCTGCTGATTTTGTTGGTTTTTTTTGTCGATTTCTATTAAATCTACTAATAACCGATTATCAACGAACGAGTGTAGACATTTTTTTTCTTGTTTTTATTGCATATTAAGCGATTTTTAACGTAATATTATAGTGCATATTTATGCAATTTTAAGTGCTATAAAATCCCAACCCTGCTTATTACCTATATTATCATCATAATATTATATCATCTTATACTGTCAAAAATAAATGATCGGCTATTGGATTTATTTTGGCTGAAGCTTCTTTAGTTTTTTCAAAGTGTCACATTGTGCTATTGGAGTTTATTTTTAATCCTTATTTTAGTTATTAGCAGTGGCGTATTTATGGGAGGGCCGAAGGTTCCTCCCCAAATTTTAAACATATCAGTAATATAATAGTTTTAGTTTGTTTATTCAATAAAGTTAATACAAATAAATTAATATAAATTATAAAGTATAACGAAAAATATATACATATATATAAAAAATATTAATAACGCTAATAATTAAGTTGTAATCGGATAATAGTAATAACAATCGATTTGAAATGGGGGAAATTATCAATTGATATGTCGATGTCCTTGCCATACTATCGATTCATCAAGATTTAGACTTTCAAATCAATGAAGTTGTTGATGATTTAGAAAGTAAAAAACGAAAACTAGAATTTATAATATAATTTGTAATTTTGTTATAGTAGTTTGTCAATAGTTGAATTCCAAATTCCAATAAGTTAATAAAAAACCTGACAATAAATTGATAAAGAACATTTTATGCTAATTAATAAAATTATTTCACTATTAGGTATGACACCCCCCGCCAACCAAAAAAAGTTTCTAAATACGCCACTGATTATTAGTAAAGATAGGACTAGATGTAATTCAAGTTTTAGATTTTGATTTTAAAGTACTAATTATTCCTAAATAATTTTAAATTCAAAATAGATAATTTAAATATAAATAATGAATAAATAATATTAATAATAATAATATTTTTTTATAATAATAAATTTAATAATTTAAGATAATATTGATTTATAACGTTATTTACAAAATTCGAAAAAAGATTTAGTTTACCTATGTTGTTTTATGATTTAAAAGTTTGAAGAACGTGTTAGCTTATTACGTTCTTCGTGTAATTGTTTATAGAACTTAATAGGTTATGGCACTCCTCATGTCAATTTTTTAAAGAACTTATAAGATTATAATGTTTTTCCTGAAAAGGTCATTCAATTTAATAGTTTATATTGTTATTTCATATGAAGGACCAATAAACTAAATTAAATAATTGGTTTCGTTCCATTATATTTTGGTTTATGAACAACGATAATGTTCTTAACTGTTTTTTTACGTTCCGTTCGGAGACCCTGGTATATACTTTACAACATGTGTATTTTCAGAAAAAAATAATACACATACAAACAACATATTACATATCATACAAAATACAACTAAACTAAAACTAAACTATAACATGTTAAACAAAATAATTTGTAATTTTCTTTTGTTTTCTGACGCTCGAGCTTTTTTAGGCGCAATATTTCATATTTGACTTAGAAGTAATACATGATTACTCATCAGTTACTGATTAAATTGAATTATAATTTATTCAATTTGTTCGTTTACCTCGCGTTTATTACATATTTTGGATGTGACAAATTATTATTATACACTCAATATTCACCATGAGTTTATCGTAATAGACAAACAATGGCGATGACGGATAACAGAGTTAATCGAGTTTTTACTGTACTTTTAAAATAAATTAATCATTTTATACACACATTTTCAAAGGTTATAACTGCATTAACTAGTTAAAAAGTTAAAAATTTTTTATACTTTTTAACTAAACTAGTTTATTAGAAATAACATAGATTTTCACAGTTGATTTAAAAATAATCTATCAAGTTAAATTTTTATGAAATTTCTCGTTTATACATAAATATTAATATAAAAATTAAATAATCACGTAAAGTAAAATGATTGCATACACTGTACATGAGATGTCATATTAGGTTTTGTGGGTTGAGTGTCCAGTTTTGATTCTGATCGTGGATACAGAATGTTATGAATAAAGAATTTTAACCATAAAGATGAATAAATATGGTAGTGAGTGACCCCTTAATGTACAATGTCATTTTTCAAACACTTTGACACCACTGCTGTATATTATAATAAACAATTCAATAAAATTGTTTATTATAATTTAGGAAATTAGATATTTTAAAAGAATGCTTTTTATGTGATTTACATACTATTTAAAAAAAGTAGAAAAAAATATACATAAATAGCTATAGGTAAGAGGAGATTAAATGGTGAACATAGTAAAACTAAATTAAGATGAATTAATCAAGTAACAAACATTTTATATATTTAAATGAGTTAATTAAGAAATACCAATTTTTCAATTATGTCACTTTTTAATTATAGGTGAAGTATATTTAAGTCCAGAGAAACTCAAAAGTAATATTTTATTTTTAGTTATGCACGATTATTTTTAATTTTTACTAACCCACCAACCAAACTGATTAATATATAGATCTAATAATTTTCACCATTATAGTAAGTATTCAAAGTTTTCAGCATTTATATACTAAAAATACAAAAGCTAGCTTAGGAACTTTATATACTTGTACATAAAGTATAAGCTTTTTAACTCAAGATATAAAAAACATAATTTAACTCAAATTGACTGAGACAAATTTCCCAACATTTATTATTACTCGAAAAAATTATATTTATTATATTAACATTAAGTTCCATAAAATAAAATAACTTTTCAAAACCAAATTTCAGTCATATAATATATGAGAATTGTGACAGATAAATTACCTGAAAGTTTACAGAAAAAAATGTTGTTAAATCAATATTATACTTTTATTTCAATCAAAAAAATAAGCTGGATCAACATGTAGACTTTATTATATACTAGAAATAGATATAGAATATTTAATAGTAAATAAATAAGAAATAATTACAATATCTTGGGTATATAATAAAACAGTATACAAAACTTATGATTTCTACCAAGACTATCTGTCCATATAACTTTAATCATGACATAACTACTTGGATTTGTAGTTTATACTTTATCACCCAAAGCATTAAATATATAAAATAGGTATGCAATTGTATAATTGAGTATTAATAATTACTACAGAAAATTGCAACAATAAATTAAAAAATAAGCTAATTGTGTATTATTTGTAAAAAAAGTATATTATAAAATAATTTAAAATAGGATAAAGCAACACTCTTAAATTTATATATATTAATGGTCTTCAAACATTTTATTTTGTGATGTTTTATTGACAAAATTTAGTTATGGTGCACAGTTTGGGAACAATTGAACTATATATATTATATATTGTAAAATAATACATCATGATCTTTATAGTTATATCTGAATTATTAAAAATTAATAAAACATTGGCCACTTTTTAATAAAAGAAAAAAATTTTAATTTATATTATTATAAAACCATCGAAAACTTCACGTTTGATTTTCAAACTGCTATTCTACTAATAATTAAATAATAATAAAAGTATCAGTTATTAAAAGCTCATAAAAAAATATTTAGGTTAGTCCATTGTTCAATAATTCAATTACTAGACAGTTAAGTCCAAATTAATACTGATTAAAAAAACCTAATGTCAATTGTAATCAATAAAATATATTAAGTAGTTAAAAAAATAATACAGAAACAAAATAAAATATTGGATGTATTGGACTGCATAACTGCATTGGAGTAAATTTACTACTCTAGCTTTTATGATAAATATTTATTAACTTCTTGTTCAATGTATAATAATTATATAATTAATATTAATTATACAATATAATTATACATTTATTTTTCAAACAGCAAACATCCTTTTTTTTTGGCAAGCTGTAATTCTTTAGGATACACCTCAACATCAATATTTTTTCTATATAAAGGGTATTTCAATAGAGGTGTTCAAACTTTGATTGGTTATATTGGAAATGTTGTTTAAGTCTTATCTGCCAAAGTGTTGTGAATTTTTCACTACTGTATGGTAAATTAATACTTATTACTTAAAACTTATAATGTAGAACAAGGAACACAGGAACTTAAAGTAAATTACCATACACATCATGTATTCTCTGATTGGGTTCTGGGAAGTTGGAAGTTGACTAACATTTTCATTAAAAAAACATCTTTAGCGACGAAGCCACAGAGGACATTTAAACAATTTAATATTTCATAAATAATTGCCATATATCTTTAAAATAAAAATAAAATTGAGTGAATATCTCACACAAAACTTATTTTTTCACATTTTAAAATCAAGCTTCCTTATTGAAGTACCCTTTATATGTCATATGTACGCGTAAATAAAAGGTAATTCAAACAGGAGCAACTCTTTGGACTAAATTCTAAATGTTATAAAAAGAAAAAAAATGTTTATTTCCTACAAAAAAAAGTTGCCAATTCTTGATCAGTCATATTCTCTACAAAATTGTCCGTCAATAAATACCTTATTAGTTACAAGCAATTTTAAAAGCATCTAAATTATACAAACAAATTGAACAATTGCAAAAAAAATAATAACTGAAATTAGTGAACATAGCATTAACTTAGCTACAGAATTTACAGAGTTTAATACAAAACACTCAAGGTAATGATAAAACTCAAACCTCAATTTCGCCGTTCAAGTCTTCAACATTTTTCCAACCCTGCCCATTATCTGAATACTGTATATAATATTCAGTGATAAATTCTAAAGTGGAAGATCGGCCTTGAGTTGAAATAGAGCATACTTTCATTCTATCCGAAAACTCAACAGTCAAAAAATGATTGAGAGAATCATATGAAGGAGTCCATGCCATGTATCCTAACAAAATGCTTTGATAATATCAACCAAAAAGCTACACACTTTATTATCGAAATTATATATTATCTTACCTTTTTAAATGATTAAATATATTAATTAACTATTATTCTATGGATTATTTCAGTGTTATTTACCTTGGTATTGCCAGATGATTCTTTGTACTCAGCATAGTCTAAACCATTTGATCCATAACTAATACCAAATGTTTCTACATACTCTGAAGATTCTGCTCTACCTTGAGTCATTATTGATGTTATAGTCATAGTTTGACCTAAATCTACAATGAGATACTGAGCAAAATCAGAACTGAATGCTGTCCATGCATTACGGCCTATAGTACAACAGAAGCAGAAAAAATAAAATAAAATTCTAATTACATAACTATTATTTAAGGTGCTAAATAAAAAACTATTAAGACTACAATATTTCATAAAAGTAGAATTAAAATATTCAATAGAAAATTCTTATCATGCATAAAAAAAATAATAAAATTATAGATTTCATATTTAGTCATAAATTTATTTTTTTTAGCCTTACAACAAATTAAATTGTTGACAATAAGAAAAAAATACTTATTTATCTGTAATTTATTAATAATACTTTAATAAATGTACTTTATTCTATTATAAATCATACTGTAATATTACAAGTATCAATAATCTAAAATAATATTATTGAGATATAAAATCTAATACTACTATACTATAAAAAATGTAACATATTAATTATAAATATTCATATTTTAATAAATTATAAGTGTTAAAGTTATTATAGTTTATAACTAAGTATTAACACTTTTTTAAGGGAAGTAGATGAATTCTTAATCATCATAAAATAAAAAACTATTACCAAGTAATCCTACATTTGTTTGAGCATTACACACAATTAAAATATATTTTATGGTTTATTAAGACAAGAATTGCCATTAATAACCATTAACACTTTAGTATTAAGAATAAGTACTTTTTACTTATAGCTTTTATTTTTAAGACATTATAACATAACAATTATTAATTATTTAAGAATAAGTACTATTACAAGTATTAGGTACACATTTTATTATTAAGTAAATACTAAATAAAATTGTATTATTCATTCCAATTTTTATACAAAATAAATGTAAGGTAAAGCGAGGTAGTATATTCGTGGTATAGCTAAGTTTGCGATATTTCTTTAAACATGAATCATGAATATGCCAAAAATGTGTAAACCTAAAATTGCGTCAAATGTCACCTATGGTACTATTGTCAACTAATATAGTTATTTAATGTGTAAGTTACGTTAACTATTTATTATCAGTTGATACATTTCGAATCATAGTTTTTCACGTGTTCAACATCTTTATTGATGTGTTAGTTTTAATTAATTTTTTTTCAACGTATATTTAAGCAAAGTCTATATATTATTATTTTATATTAAATTATGAAATACATTTAATTTAATGGTATAATTTTTGCTTTTTATGTGATTGATTGTTATTGTTAATTCCTTACTGCAAATATGTATTTTCTTATAGTTTCTATCTCAAATATTTTTGTATTTTTTTAGCATATTTTTTAATTAAATTTAAAAACTTCAATTATTATTTTAAGCACTTAATACTTTATAGTAAAATTAATACTATAAATATTTATTTGAGCAAATTTGTAAATAATTTTGCAATTTAGCCTATCTCAAAATTACATACATAATTTTAAAGTATTTTGTGATTTCAGATCATACGTACTAGCACAATGCCAACAAAATTTCGAAATTATGAAAATACTGAATTGATAATAGCAACTAAAATGGCCAATAAACAAAAAATTTTTATATATAAATCATGTAAAAAAAAAAAAATATGTAGTGCTCTTATTGTTTAACACCTTATCATGAGAGCTATCATCATTTTATGAAAATTATGAAGTTTTTATGTGTGATAATTGTTGTTAACTAGAATCTGACTCAGAAAAATAACTTAAAAGTCTGATTCATTTTATTTTTATTTATATATTAAAAGTATAAAATTGTTATTTTTTATAATTATAATTTTTTTTAAAGGCAGAATGATTTATTTTGTTTTAATTTTCTCAGTCAATTAGTTTGATTAATATTATTTTTTTAGTAATTTAAGAATAAATAAGTATTGTTAAATTGTTATAATTTAATTTATATTTGTTTTATATAATAATAAGAAATCATTTGGATGAAATATTAAAATTATTGTATGCATACAAATTACCTAACTTTTTGTAGTGTGTTTTGAATTGCTATAAAAAAAATGTAAAGGTAATACAATTTCAAATGTGAACAGATTCTAATTCCTTTACTTCATATACACTTAATAGTATGAATTAAATCCAATAACTAAAATTTAATGAGTAAGTAGACGTTTTGTAAATTTATCACAAATAAGTCTCACTTTACCCTATAAGATTAATACTATTTTCAAATAAATGCAATAGTGTAATAAAAATTGCACAAATGTGCAAAAATAAAATACATTTTTTTTTTTTTTTTGGTACCAGTCAATAACATTTCTTCCCACGGAACTAATAGTACAAGGTACGTACAATCACAACCCTTTTATTATTGTCATGAAAACAGAAATATACAACCAATTCCCATAAATTAACAACTATTACTGCATAACATGCAATATATAATGTCATGTAAAAAATAAATATATCCTATCCATATTATTTTCAAATCGACTACAAACTATAAATGAAACAACAATATTAAAATAGATATTAAGTAACTGTATTTTCATGTATATTGAATAACAATATAAGTACAGTTTACATCTAAGAACTTAACTGTGTTATATTAAATGAAAATTATATTATTAAATTAATAATTATGGTTTTTCTTCTTTGCTCAAAAATAATTTACAATAATTTTTATCTTCTTCCAAAATCATTTCTGCATTACTTATTAAGTCTTGGAAGTTTATGAACTTAAATTTAATTGGGGTTATGGGTCCTTTTACACATACAGTTATTGTATGGTTATCAAACAAATATTCATGAAATTTCCAGTCAGCCATTAATTTACCATCAATAAATAATTCTGTATCACTTAATATTACATCTTTCATCAATTCACTTTTTGGTATAAAGCAAATTTTTTTGAGGTCAATAGTTAACCCTGTACCAGTTGCTTTAACATAACTTTCTTTTAAGCACCAAAATCTATAAAATGAATTGGTTTTTTCAGTATCTGTTCCCTTATTTATATATCTCCACTCATTTATATGAAAGTTTCGATGCATTAATCTAAAAAACTCATTTAAACTTTTTCCACCATTGTAACAATTTCTCATAATATCTATTCCTACAATTGTTTCTTTTTCACCAGCTAAAACAACTAAATTACCATCATGTGATATATTAAAATTAAATCCTTCCATTATAGGTTTATTATTTTGATCTCTTTTTGTTTTTATTTTTGACCATGGTAAATGAGTAGCTTCAGATAAAAACTTTCTAATCATTAACTGTCCTATAATTGAACGTTTAGCATCTTGTTTAAATACAAAACGACCAATTCTTTCTTTTTCTTCAGGTTGTATAGAACGAGAAGCTATAGACCAATCATTTTCTGATGGAAACCAATTTCCACAGTCGAATACCCAACGAGCCCTGTTTGATGTTGACATTGTAGAATTGTACAGTGCAATTTTCTTAGAAATGAAGTGCATTAAAAATGTATTGTCATTGAGATATTTAAACCGCCACTATGATACATTTAAACACCTAAACAAAGGAAAACATAACCTAAGTAAAACACTAATTTCAAAATCCTGTTAATTATAACAATTGATTCGATTTCAAATTTTTTTGAATTATAATGTAAAATAAATATCACATGTGTAATACACATAAAAGTGCCATGAAAAATGACATCACATAAACTTTTTAATATATATATATAAAGGGTGGTTCTTAGCTACAGAAGTCAATTTTTTTCTTATATTTAGTTACAATGACCCCTAAATTTTATTCTTCGGTATAAAAAAAAAATTATTGTATAGTTTGAGCGGGATACTTCAACCCCTTCCCGTGCCCCAAAAGGGTTAGAGTTCAATAAAAAGGAGTGAATTTTGAATATACTTATTTTATTTTTACAGTTATGCAAAATGCATAAGAATCTCTATTGTAGCAATCAATATTTTTTAATAAAAAAGTATTAAGATGAATTGTTAAAAAATGGTTTTTCGTAAAACTAAGAAAAACCCACCATTAAAAAAAATTAAAAATGCCGCATCTTCTTTATTTTTAATTAAATTGAATGGGTTAGCTGCAGCGATGTCAAACAAATCATTTAAATCCTCATTAAATGTGATTTCCTCATATTTGTTTAATTCATTTGTTCGAGTCTTATGTTTTTCTAAACTGCGTAAATCTTGGTATAATTTCTTACATTTTATGATGCAGTTTGAACAATACTGAGTGAGTATATGTGTTTTTCTCCAAAATATCAAACATTCATTAAAAACAAGAAATGCACTTTCATGTAAATTCAAATTAACTATTCGCATGTTATAGAAAAATACGCTCAAACAATCTCGTTTACTGAACAGTGAACCAACACGTAATAACATCAATACTTCAATAGTAATAAGACGCAAGTACATTGTACTGCACAATACTTACATCTTTACAACTTTTATTGTGATGAGATTATTTATATTTATATATATTTTATTTTAAATAATATAATACACATATAGAACCTACTCTTTTTTAATTTTTTTAAATTTATCAAAGAAAAATATTAATTAAATTAAATATAGTAAACAATTTCAAGAAAAAAATATTATTTTTGTACAAGATTAGATAAAAGTTTTCCTACTTCTACTCAGATTGGTATTACAATAACTTATACATTTATAATTAATGAACAGTTGTAGTAAATAAGATATTTAGATAAAATTAATAAGAAAAAAACACTTAAAACATAATCAAAAACTTAGTAATCAACTTAGTAAACTAAAAATAGTAATTTATTTACAAAATTAGTTAATATCAAAATTAAGTTAAAATACCAAATAAATAAGTTATATCTACGGAGAAATAAAAATATATTATTATAAGGACCCTAGTCATTTAAGTACAATTATCACTTCTAAATGAAAATTAACTGTATTAATAAAAATTAAGGTCTTAATTAATATGCAGCAACAAAATTATTTATCTATAAATGTCATTAAAATAACCGAATTTTATGATACAACTTATACTTTAATTGTCAAACTAAAAAAGTAAAACCTTTGTTTCTATAAACTACAATTTTACAAGGATATCTATAATATATATTCAATGTATGTATAGTTACTTTTATTAATATGAATATAATTAATTTAATGAAAACTAAACTATTTCAATGTAAAACTCTATGAAAATAGATCTTTTACTACTCAATGATACCAAAAAACTAATCACCAGTTAAACAAATACATTTGAAACTAAGTTATAGATTTAATATATAATCAATATAATTTATAAGTCTGGCCAGTTAGTTAACTATTTATTACATATTTACTATTTAGAATTTACTATTAAGAAAACATACAGGTACTGAATTATAATATAAGATTTCTGTATCATAGAAATTATGAACTTGAACAGCTAATATCAGTAGAAATAGACAAAATAATAAGTTTTCAAATCCTACAAAAAATATAAATAAATAAATAAAAGAATATGGATTTGTTGATTTACAACTGGAGGTACTAAGTATCAACCTAACCATGCTGTGCTTATGATAAACAATGTAAAATTTCAATATATTTTAATTTTTTAATAGAAAATAAGTCAATTAAATTTTAGTGACATTAGAAGCAATACTTAGATAAAATATATTTCTATTTAATTTTATCACATGACATCTCAATATAGTATATATTTGATATTTATTTACATAAGAAATTATAATAAACAATGAACATATTATTTCAAATTTTATCAACTTTATTATTTACTTATATATTAATATATTATATTAAAATGCTCAAAAAAAAATAATAAATAAATAAATAAAAAGTAATATGTTACACCTTTTAACTAGTAAATATAAATTAGTATGCAAAGTGATTATTTGAAATGTATATCTGTGATTCAACTACACAAATTTAACAAATAACAAAATGTTTTTTTAAATGTAACAAACTTTAATGAATGTTACATAATCTAAGTCTTACCGATATGAACGATGAAAGAAGCACAACAGTACATACAATTAAGATAAAACATTTTTTTTTCACTTTTATTCTACTGATTAGGTTATTTGTAGGGATAAATATAATCATTTGCAAAGTAAACACCAAATTTTCAAGTTTATAAAGCTGAATAATTTTTGATGACTATTTTATACTTACTGTATGAATAATGATAAAAAAAAATAGGAAAGAAATTCAAGAAAACTAAGTCTACATCGGTTTCTCATATTTTGGATTTATAAATTATAGTTAATTACATGTAAATTTTTGAATAGAACTTAAGATATTTTAAAAAAATTAATTTAATTTGAAAAGTCAATAATTTATAGTTAATTTATTAAATCGGTGTTTTATAAAGAAATATAATTGTTAATAGGTTAGGTTAAAAGATAATAATTATTAAATTCATGTAAGTAAATATTATATAATTAAATAAGATAAAATTTAACATTAAACATTAGCATCAATATTAACTAGATAGAAATTAAGGTATACATATAAACAACAAAATTATAATTACCATTGAGAATAGCATTTTCTGGTCCTCTGTCTGGTAATGAAGATGTAGCTTTAATTACTGCTTTTTCTAATAGTGGTTCATTGCAATCAGAATCTATAAAAATAGAAAAGAAAAAGAAATAACTTGAAGTAAAGATTATATATATTTCAATACATTCATAAGACAATAAAAAAATAATTTTATATATAATGACCCACGAGCCATTAAAACTCCTACATTAATAATGATAGTTAATAATTGAATAACTATTTGAAATTAAATAATCTTATTTGAACCTTCTAAAAGGTTATTATTATTTATTTATTAAATTCTTACCAGTTTTGACATTGCAACATAAAGCAAGAATGACACCAATTATAATCAGAAATGAAGATTTACTCATTTTGTATAGAAAAGTGGTCATGTATAAAATGTAAACAACATATTAAAAAAAAATTAACTAAATAATTAATAATAAAAATAGTCAGTTGAGAGCATTCATTTAGTTAAATCAAGTTCAACTACTATGAACTTGTATTGTCAATTGTCGTATCGCTGTTATACTACTTGATATTATAGTTTCCAGTCAGTTTTTGATTATTAAGAATGAAAATTCCGTTTTAATGGTACATTGGTAACATGGGTTTGGGTGGAACAGTGGCACGCCCGAATCACGAGTGCATCACAATGCATCAACAAATTTATAGCGCTATCTTGTAACAAATGTAAAATTATATAACATATATTACAAAATATATCATTTATTTTGTAATAATTATTAAATACCAATACATGTTGTTTTTATTTGATATTTGTTTAAATAATAATAAATAATAAATAATTAAAATTATTAAAAGATAAATTGATTTTAAAGTATTAAATTTAAAAACATAAAATATCAACACAACTTACAACAGCCCGGATAGCTCAGTCGGTAGAGCATTAGGCTTTTAACCTAAGGGTCCAGGGTTCAAGTCCCTGTCCGGGCGAAATTTTTTTAAAACTATTTATTATTTTATTTATAAAATTGTATGTAATCCAAAAAGATTTTTCAATATATATTAATTAAGTGAAAGAATAATTGATATTTGAAATTATTATACTAGATGTTTCTAAAATTATTGATTACGTAAGTTTATAAAGCTATTTTACTGAATTCTCATCCAAATTGGTGTCTCATCACATTTTTTTATTCTTGCGATCCAGGCATGAAAAATGCAAAACAAGCTTAAAAAAGATGTTAAACATCGATTATATGAAAATTATGCAAACATTTTTTAATTATATATATCAGTGGCGTATATAGGGGGGTGTCTAGTGGCTACAGCCCCCCCCCCCCCCCGAAATGTTTTAAAAACTTAATAATTATTTTAAACGTATGTTATATTTTAATGGTGCTTTATGCTTATATTTAAAAATTACGTCCAACGTTAAATCGTTTTGGGACATTCTATAAATGAAATGTAGATACTTACCTACTGTGTCTTGTTAGTAATTTTTAGATACCTAGTAGTGGTAATTGAACTCTGTCCATAGTAGCCCTTCCCAAAAATATTTTCTATATACGCCACTGATATATATTATAGTTAATAACCTCATTAATCTGGATTGCCGTTTAATAAATAATGTAATGCCGACAATACACATTCACCTATTATGTTTTGATCAGAGTTAAGGTGAGACGAATAAGTACGAGTGCATCTAGTACATTCTTGGCTTACAAGAACTCATATATTTTATATTTCATATTCCAGTTTTGATTTCTTAACGAACATGGACGCTGAAGAGGTTATCGCTTTATATTTGCGTATTTTAGATAATTATAATTACATAAACAAATGCGTAATATAAATTCATAGTATTATATAAATTATTATTGTAATTTATATTACAATATTTATATGTACATATACATATTGTATGTACAATACAATATGCATATGTATTGTATTGTATAAGATGTACAGTAAAACCTGTCTTATGCGAACCCTTGATAAGACGGAATCCTGTTCTGTGCGGAAATTTTTTATGGTACCGGCAGATTTCTATAGTTAAACATAGGATTAAACCCTTGATAAAACGGAACCTGTTTAACGTGAAACGGAAAGCTATTTTTTGGTCCCGTAAATCATAAAAACCTTTAACAAACGGAAAAACACATCATAAAATGAACAAAAATATTTTTGATGTCCACATTTATTTTGCTACTAAACAATTATTAAGGTCAGCGATGAATACGTATTGATAGATAACTAAATTTTATCTTGATTCTATAAATTAGCGCTTATTATTGTCACCGTAGTGGCGTAGTCGAAGTTCACCTGTCGTTTCGTATCGTCGTACCTACTTGTTCTCACAATGTCTAAAATTTGTTTAAGTTTAAATGAAAAAATAAAAGTAATCGAAGAAAGTGAAAAAGGAAATAGTTTTAAATCATTAATGAATACTTTTAAATGCGGGAAAACGCAAATTTATAACATAATTAAAAACAAAATTAAAATTAGAGAAGATTGGTTAAAAGGTAAGTTCATATGAAATAATTAAATTATTAATTACATTTTATTTAAGTCATATTCATTAATCTTATTAGGAAATGGGAAAAGCAACCAAATGGGAAAAGTAACCAATTGAAAACATACAAGGAAGCACTTATTTACATCAAGAGTTTGGAACAATTTTCAATGAATAAATGTGATAGTGAGTTATTGGAAACGATATCGTGGGCAAAAATAAAAGTTGAAAAAAGCATTGCTACAGAAAAAACCAGACAAAAAACATTACACGAGTTTTGGAATTAATAATTGTATTATAACGGACCTACTTTTTTTTATTATATTACATATATTATTTTATTAATACCTATTTTATTTTATTATATTATATTATTTTATTAGTACCTACTAAATGTTTTTAAAATTTTAATTTATCATTATTTTGAAATATTTAATTAATATACTTGTTATTATAATTATTTACTAAAAATTAAAATTTATTGTAGCCTATGATATTTATTAATTTTTAATATTTTTATTTTTATTATTGACCGGAAAATGTTACAACTTTAATCGTGCAGTATATCGTAACTGTATAGTACGGAATTTTCCGTTATATTCAGTTATAAGGAAACCTGCCTAAAACGGACATTTTTATAGGTCCTGTACAATTCCCCATATGACAGGATTTACTGTATTGTACAATATGTAATATGTGTAACCAGAAAAATATTTTATTTTTTTTTTTTTGATTAAATTTTAAATTTTTCTACTAATTAAGTACCTACCAACTTTTTGTTTTAATAAATTCATTAAACATAAGTTAAAACATAAAATTTGTTACTGTTTAATTTATTGAAACTGTAAAAATTGTTTGATGATCACATGATATAACATTATACCTATAATGATTGTATAACTTACAAAATAAGAGAAACATTTCGGGGGGGGGGGGGTATAGTTTGTTAACCTCCCCCATGGCTACGCCACAGCTCCCATGTGTATCTTTTTTTATAAATTATTGATAACACTTTACTTTTTTTAAGTATTCAAAATTTGTGTGAGTCAGACACGTTCAGTGGTGCTCACAGGTTTTCCATGAACTAGTGCAATTATAATTATAGTCCCTCCCACAAGTCCATATCTGGGGGGGTCCAGGGCGTCTGCCCCCCAAATGTAATGTTTATGGATTTTCCGAAAGATTTTCTGAAAAATAAAATCTAAACGATATTTAAAAATAGTTGAAAAAAATTAGGGTTAGATATGGTAATTAGAAAAACAGTAAATAAGCAATTTTTAAAAAATCGTCGAAAAAAGGAAAAAAAACTTTCAATTTTCATAATTGAACGTGTTATAACATAACATACACTTCCTTAACTCTATGCTATATTTTATGTCAAACCATAAAAATAAGCAAGTGCTTTAAGTCCCGAGCCTTGATAATAACTGATAAATCAACTGTAATCCGTCGTATAAATCAGTGCTTCTCAACCTTTTTCAAACTGCGTCCCCTAAGAAGTAAAATGTTTTTCAACGCCCCCCCCCCCCCCATGACTCAATTAAAATTAAAATAGTATACATTAAATGTTTATAATACAAATAATTAAATAATATATATATATATATATAATGGTAAAATTTATGTTTAAATATAATTTAAATGTTTCGAAATGTATTGATAAGTTAGATGGTTGTACTTGGTGATTCAAAGCCAATTTTTTTAAGTTTGGTTCAAAGTTTATGAGATGAAGGCGTAAATCTCCTCTTTTAACGATGTCAAGTCGATTTCTTTTTTTCGTTATTAGATAATAACGCACTGCCTCTGGTATATGTAGCTTATATTTTATAATCACGAATTTATTTTAGAAATCGATAAACGGGAAACAATTACAGATAAATCTTTGTGCGTTGCTTCGAACAGAAAAAAATTTCACCGCCCCCTTATCGCTCACCGTTGGGGCGATATCGCCCTCGTTGAGAAGCACTGATATAAATCCACAGATTTTTCAGAACATCTGGAACTACTAGAGGAATTGATCCTCAATATAAAAATCAACGGATTTCCTCCATTGACTATTTACAGATGATACGATTCACGAAAATAAGAGGACTTACATTCTTACGTTATTGAGCACAACTGAAGACTTAGTTCAATGGACTAAATCCGTTAAGGATCTAACCGTCATTAAATATTCTCTTGTATGGGCATCTAATATATTTGTGTGGTTATTATTTTAGTTTAAGTTTAGTTGAATTGTACTAACTTCACTATACATGATTGTGGAAATACTTATAATTTAAATTAACAAAATTAAATTCTAACCAACATTTTATCGCGTCATCCAGGTCATCTTTGTTCCCAATGTTTAATAATATTTGAAATAAATAACGTTGCAGTACTCTTGCTATAATCGAGCTTAGGAATTTATAAATTTTAGATTTTTTAGTTTTTTGCTGACGGTTAACTTATGTTACTTTGTAAGGTGTAAGAGCTAGATTTTAAATAGTTGGCGGTGTAATAATGGGCGTATTGGATCAGAAAAGAAATTTTGATTTATCACTTACTGGCACACTGTTTACTGCTGATTGGTCAATCATCCAATCGTCATGACTTATTTCGTGGATTGTCACGAGAAAAATTCGACGCAACCTCACTATAATAATCAAGATTTTTTTATATTGTGTTTTTGAATTTTTTTATTCTATTCGTTAATTAAATTTTTTACTAATCGTTTTAAATGATGTCTTATAAAACATCGTCACTGATGTCTAGTTAAAATGTATTTTTATTAGTTGTTATTTTAATATTTATATATTTGGTTAATAAAAGTACGTTATCGTGATCTTTTGTTTCCCGGACTAGTTTTTTTGTTTCATTCTATTACTGATAGCAAAAATGGGTACTGGTGACGAAGAATACGATTATTTATTTAAAGGTAAAAGTTATTGTTTTAAATGTATGGAAAAATTAAAGTAACTCATTGGTAAATAAAATAATAATGTTATCAAATTGTATATGATTTACATAATAAGAATAACATCGTACTTTATTTTACTCTGGGTGCCACTCTCTTATATATACCTACTTATAATGTTAGTTAGGTTTTGATTGTTGATGTACTTAATATCTAGCTTAATAAAAAATAAACTGAATATTAAATTATTAAATTTGTCTTAGAGTAAATTAATGGTATCTAACAGTTTTCTAACATTTATGGTTCATGTTTTATATTTATCTAGATCTTTTAATTGATTTCAGATGTAAAAATCTAAATTAACTACTAATTAAAAATTTGAAAAATATTTGCATAAACAATTAAGATAATTTATCACTTCAATATTATTTAATCAGAAAAAATATAAATAAATAATTACTTTTTATTGGACAGTTTAACTTGACAAAAAACATTATTTGCTTATAGATAACTTTTATTAATTTGTATTTATTAAAATTTAATTTTAATTTGGTTTAAGAATATTTTATTAAATTAAATTAATTTAAATTTATACATTCAGAGATTAACTTTTATTAATTTTTAACTAACGGAAATAGTTAAATTATAGCTTTTAGAATGTATCTAAAAATAGAAGTGTATAATAATAATGAATTTACAATTACAGATAAAGTAACACTTACTTTTATTAGCGACTTATTTATTCGATTTATTTATACATTAATAATAATAACTTTACCTAAAATATAATTTAATATAAAGAGATTAAATCTCAAGGCTATATATTTGTATATCTTACAATTGATATACAATGGTTTTTACGTACATTTTCATAGAGAAAATTTATATCTTTGAATTATTCAATAATAGGTATTATATCTAAATTTCATTAAATCTTAATGGTTAAATAATATTTTAAATAAGGTATCTTATAATAAGATGTTTTGATTTTTACTAGATCCTTGGGATTATTAATTTCTCAAAATTGATAAGGTCATATTTAAAATAATATTTTTCATTGAAATTAGTGTTCAATTATCTATTAATTTATATATTTATTTGTTACTCGGTTCATTTTATTTAATTCTCTATCTGAAATAATCTTCTCTATAATGTTGTTATTTACAATTAGACTTACATGTTTATTTATTAAAATTAATATACATTTTTCTTTTGACTATTTTTGGCATAGTTGTATTGTTGTAGTAGGTTATAAATTTCTATAGTTTTAATTCTGCTCCACTTATACTTAATAAATATGAATAGTCAAGATAAATTAATTTATGATTTATTTTGATTATTATTTTAATTTTAACATATACATAAATAAAATTAATTTTTAAACTTAAGTCTATACTTTTACAGAAATTATTCATCTTTTTTAAATTTGTATTTATTATATTCTTGAAAAATATTAATTTTCAAAAATCTATTTAATCAAACTATCAAGTTACATTTTTTTTTTTTTAATAATTATTTATTCTTATTAAAATATATATATATATATATATATATTTTTTTTAATTATTAAACATTGTGGTATAGTTTAGTGATATTAAGTGCAAACCAAACTATACTGAATAGATATTTCTTTAAGTACTTAATTTGATATTTTTATAAATATTTATAATTTTTTTCAAATAGGTACTGGATATACATTTGATTTCAAATTATTATTCATTGAAGCTAAATTAAAAAAATACCTTATAGTAGTTTGACCTTTTAATATATTCTGGGTTTATTGGCTTCAATAAACATATTGAATGCTTGTTGGACCAATTGATTTATATTATTTTCTCAGTAATATAGTGCGGGAGCCACAAATACTTGTGTTCTGATGGGAACAAATTATATAGTTTCTTTTATATTTTGTATTCAGCATCTGACAAGAGAAAATTTTAAATCAATGTGGAAGTGTAAAACTCCTTAATATTACATTTATAACTTATGTTTATAATTTTACTATTAGATTTAGGTACATCAATTTAATAACTAGATTGAACATTACTTTTAAACCTGTATATACACTATATATATACAGTAGAACTTCGATTATCTGGTTTAATGGTAGGCAGGAATCATATGGATAAATGAAAACCATGTTTTATTGATATTATTCAATGCATTTTAATTATAGTTTTTTATTTATTATTACATTATATTTAACCTAAGTTATACAAATACATATTGTTCCGTTTTAAAATTTTCAAGGCTTGATATTTGAAATAATGGCTATCTCCCAATATGCGGTCTACCTCCGTTTTGTGTGCTACGTAACTATAAATATGAGTATAGTATGTGGTCTACCAATGTTATGTGTTCTACCTATAGCTGGGAATCTCCAGTCATTATTATTTACTATTACTATTATTAACTATTATTTACTCAAAATCGTTAAAAAAATGTGAGGTACTTATGAAGACCTCTTAGAGAGGTACTTAGCTGAGTATTAGTGGTGAGGATTAAATAAAACTGATAATATTTTTGATGCTTTCCTTAGGGATATGAAATTATGTTTTGTGGATCCTTAATAAATAAAAAAATTTTTTTATTTATACTTTTAATATTATTACGGTAGACCATGTCCATTTTGGTAGACCGTATATTGGGAGATAGCCGAAATAATTACTTTGTATTTTGAGGTTTGAATTCTTGAATTCATGACATAATTGAGTCATTATTTTCCTGCTCACAAAAATTCAGGAGGATATGAATTACTTCTATACATTTTTTTTATAATATATTCCACACATTGTTTATTAAATTAATATTATTTATCATCATATTTAATTTGTGTAAAACATAATACGCACCTTTAGGTTTTAGTACACAAAAAAATTTCAAGAAAATGAGTACAGTTATTCACGAACATGAATAATCAAAACTTGGTTAATCTTTAACTGACTATTCTACTGTAATTTTAAGTTTTAGAAGATTAAACAATTTTTAGTACCATAACAATGATTTTGAAAATCATAAAACTTGAAAATGTTTAATTTATATTTTATGTTTACATTAGGTTCATTTTAATAATATGGTTTTTTCTAAAATTTTACTAAAGAGTTAAGCATTAAATTAAATGACTTTTTTATATTTTTAAAAAATATTGTTAAGTCTATTTACCTATACTTAGTTGAACTTATTACGTTAATTATATGTCATTGTTTTTTATTGAACACTTTTCCTTTTTTAAATATAAATGAAAATATAACTAAAATAAATTATAAAAAATTATCTTAATTTGGTAATAATATTACTTTATCACATAAGTGTTTTTATTTTGTCATTTTGTAGTTGTTCTTATTGGTGATTCTGGTGTTGGCAAAAGTAACCTGTTAGCAAGATTTACACGCAATGAATTTAATCTAGAATCAAAATCTACTATCGGAGTAGAATTTGCTACAAGAAGCATTAAGGTACTATTTTATCAATTTATATTATATATAAGTTTATAATATAGTACCTCTCAGTAACTATTACAGTTTAAATAATATTTATTAATTTTTAATTTTAAGTATTCATGTTGAAAAATAGCATCAACATTTTTTTTATCATAAATACAATGAAACCTCCCTTAACGGACACCTCTAAATAGCGGACAACTATGAATAGTGGACTTTTTTATGGGAACGGGGACATTTTCACTACTTTCATTTAAGAAAACCTCTAAATAACGGACACTTTTATGACAATTTAATTTTAATTTTTACAATTTTTATTGTAAATATAGACTAATCGTTGAATGCCAATTTAATCTAATTTTACTACTATGTATTATAAATTATTATACAATTATAGTTTATCTTATCTGTCCATCAATTCATCGCATCAATAAAACATTTTTCAAGATGATATTTGAAAGAAAAAATTGAGATTCTTGAATTTCAAGCATCTAATACAAATATGGGTGTTTGTGCGATTGCAGACAAGTTTAGTGATAGTAAAACACAAATCACGGATATCATAGATAATAAAAATACGCTTTACATATAATTTATAATGTATACAAATATCATTATTATAAATATTATATGCACAAATATAAATAATAAATATTGTACATGTGTAATTATTAATTTCTCTGAGTTATTTCCAAGAATTTACCCCTCCCCCCTCACAATAGTCGACACCTCTAAATAACGGACAAAATTATGGCGACCAAGAGTGTCCAGTATTTAGAGGTTTCACTGTATTCCCAAAAAATAACTCACTACTTTTTATCTAACACTTACAAATTATTTAACCAAAAGTGATATTTTTTATCCAATCTATCAACATAGGTGTGTTCAACAATTGATTAAATAATTGATTTAATTGACTTACGAATTTTGCGTTTCTGTTGTATTATAGTGTTGGTGTGCCCAAAAATAACTAACTTTTTAAAAATATTTCTGGTTAAAAAAATACTGAGGTTATTAACAATAAATAATATTCTTTATGAATGACTTAATGAATTATTAATTGATGATTAGAATTTAGAACTAGTAATATTTTCATATTGATTTTGAGTAGTCTTGAATTTACCTATATATAATATCAATATTTCCATGTAAATATATTTTATTACATATTTATGTATCTAAATACATCTTTTTTTATAATTATAATTAATTTTTATATTTTAGTCATTTATATTATGCTTATTTAGTAATATGATTTATTTACTGTAGTATAGAGCGTTAAATACCATCATATTTTATATATTTTACAGAATATGGTATTAAAATGATCCACAATTCAATATTATTATTAAACTAAACTATAATAAATAGCATAATTATTTAGTTTTTTTAATACTTAAAATATAAGGACAATGCAATAATATTAAATTAACTTATTTATTTTAGACTGCTTTATGTATTTTCTTCTCTGCTAAAATTGTTTTGTTTATTTTATTTGAATACAAAGTATCTCTATATTGCAAGAATTAGTATATTATTTGTAAAATAATTATTATATTTATAGGTAAATAAGAAAATAATAAAAGCCCAAATTTGGGACACTGCAGGACAAGAACGATACAGAGCTATAACATCAGCGTAAATATTGATTGTTTTTTATTTAATATCTAATTAGTTGAATAATTTAGTTTAATTTGTCTCAAGTTATTATCGAGGAGCAGTTGGTGCACTATTGGTTTATGATATTGCCAAACAGCTAACTTATCAAAATGTAGAACGGTGGTTGAGTGAACTTCGTGATCATGCTGATCAAAACATAGTCATTATGTTAGTGGGTAACAAGTCAGATTTGCGTCACTTAAGAGTTGTGCCATCAGATGAAGCTAGAGCATTTGCTGAAGCTAATAACTTGTCGTTTATAGAAACTTCTGCTCTTGATTCAACCAATGTTGAAACTGCATTTGAAAACATTTTAACAGGTATATAAAACATTTTTTCCAATTTTATTCAGAACAAGACTGAAATTATTGAATTATTGTTAGCACAGTTTTATTACAATTTAAATCCTAGTTTTAGTTAAAATAAATAAAATGTAGAAAACATGAACTTTTAGAAATATATTTAAACATACATAGTTATTAAATGCTTATCTCAGACAAGCTTATATACTTGGTCATTGTAACTGTCAAAATGTACATGTGTAATTTTATACATATGCATATCATATACAAATTAAATTGTTAAAGCAACTCTACTTATTTTACTGATAAATAATAATAACCAAATTTAATCATTTTAATTATTAAAAGTGAAAACATTAAATGAATACATAAATAAATATAAACAATTATTATGGCTAACTTAACCAACTATCCTTTTATTCTATCAATTTTTTGATTAAAAATTAAACATAAAATAACTTATCTGAGCTTATCTTTTTTCCTAATATTTCATATGGTTTATTTTGTATTATACTTTCTCAAATTATTGATATATATATATACTTATGCATAACATAGAAAGTGGAAAGAATATTTTCTGGTCAGACAAAATTTATGTTTAATATATGTAATGCTCTTAATTTTTCTTACATAATAGACAAAATATCTTCTGTGATTAAAACTTTGTATATTATATTTAATGACTATTGTTTTTAATTATTTATTATTTTTTATGATTTCCTCCTCGTAAAATTAATATTTAAATTACATGTTTGTAGATTGACTGTAACAATTCAGTTAAATTTTTAGTTAAATTTTGTTATATACCGCTTCATATGAAGGAATTATTAAGTATATTTGTTTTAATTGAAAAAAATAAAATAAATAAAATATAAATTTTTTTTATTTGGTAAAATGATTTTAGTTTCAAATAAGTATTTACTATTCTGCCTATTTTTATTGCATGTTTATTGCACGTGTTAAAAATCTTTTATTTAATACATAAGAGGTGGTATTTTTATTAGATAACAAATTTTCAACAATACATTTTTATTTAGATTTTTTAGTGGCATTTAAGCAAAATATATATAAAGTATAAAAAAGAAAAGTATAAACATCTGTGTAAATTTTTTTTATCTAAAACTCATTATTTAGTTTTACACACATCTCCAATAATGAGAAAATATTTTTTTTGTTTTGAACTAAGAATAATAATTTTCAAAATTGTATTAATATATATATAGTATATTAATTATATATAATTACATACATAAAAATGTTTTTCATTTAATTTTTAAGTTGGAAGTACAGTATGTTATTTAATTTCATTCATCGTATATTGAATATTATTTTATTTCTTTATTATCAATAATTTTATTATTATTTTTATTCTTTATTACTATTCTTTAGTCTAGAATTAAATTGCTATTGAATGATGTTTTAGTTATGTGATTATTATTTTGGTACTGAGTAGTTATGTTTTTTTTCGTTTGGTTTTTCATCACTATTTAGAAATCTATAACATTGTGTCTCAAAAGCAAATGAGAGACCCACCTGAGGGTGACACGATACGGCCCACAAACATTGAGCCAATTGATGTCAAACCTACAGTCAACTCTGATAATGTCAGGAAACAATGCTGCCAATCATCATAAATCAGGTTTGTTTTGCAGGTTGCTGATGAAAATATGTATGTGTTTTTAGTTGGTCTCATTATGACTTGTTAAATGTTTTATTGTATATTTTCATGTAATAAATTAATCCAATATTCTATTTTATTTGTCAAATAGAAATCCATCGCAAAGTATCAGCCCGTCAAATGGATAGTATGGATGGGGACGAAATTGATAAAGTGTGTATGAAGCCAATCAGGATAGACGCAACTACTGCAAATACAAATGATTCGGCTGCATTCCAAATCAAACAGTTTTGCTGCAATGCGTCAGCTTGAGTATCAAAATTTAAGTCCACTTTTAAGTTTTATAAGTGTTGTCCCTTTTTCCATATTTTATTTTAATATTATTTTGCAGAGCAGGTTTTTAATTTAAGTTAAATTACAATTTTCTTACTTGCTTCTCATTTTGGGGCTCTTATCTCTTTATTATTTAAAAAAATACAAATTTTACTTATAATTCTATATATGTTTAATATTTTCTAATCTTTATTTATATTATTTTGTGTTTTTTTTCAAACTATAATATATTACAATATTCAGATTATATAGTTTAGGTTCCATTATTGTTATGGTATTATTGGCATAATTTGAATTGAAACATTGCATCAACATTTTTAGTAGTACATACATTAAATTTTTTAACAGTTTCACCTATTTTACTTAATTTTATTTTACCCTCAAAGAATAATTATTAAAACATTTTTCATTTCAAATATTCACCCTAGAATTTTTATCAGAATTTCTATTTCAAGTATTTATTATTTTATTTGGTTTATTAACCTGCAAAATGTAATCAGTTTTATTATTTTATTGTATTGTATATAACATTTTTAAAATAAAAATTGATTAATATTAAATCATATTTTTAGTTTAAAAATAGAACAAGTTTATTTAGGCAATAAACAATATTATTGTATTAACAACTGTCTGTGTACATTTAATTTATAATCCAAGAACTCTATATTAATTAAACATTTTTGAAATTCATCTTAGTATTTATTCTACATTTTACCTCATGGTCTCATGTGGATTTTTTTATTTCTTTTATTATATTAGAGTAAATATGGTGTCCCCACAAAATGACTTTTTTTAAAATGGTTTAGTTATGAAACTATTATTCATTTTAATATAAAATAGTAAATAATTATAGGTATCCTATTGAAATCCATGTTATTGGTTATAGTATTAAAGTGTACTCATAGTTGATGCTTGTATTGTTTTATCCTTAAATAATAAAAGGTATATAGAATATATTGAAAAAAGGTTAGATTTGAAATAGGTTATATATTTTAACAAAAAAATTTTCCAACCAAATTTTTAATTTTTATTAAATAAGCCAATTAAATTATATATGGTACCAGTGGAGTAGCTAGGATTTTCTGAAGGGGGGTGTTGATTATAATTATTAAATATTATATATAATACGTACGAACTATAACTTTTATTTTAATTAATTAATATGTATACATAATGTCTGTAATAGAGATGTAATGTATATTCGAATTCGGATAGCTTTACCATAAATTATTCGAATATTTGACTATTCGAATATCAGTATTCAATGCTACAATATCTATTATTAAACGTTTTGTGTTGCACGAAAACGTAAACGAATAATTTTCGTCACGTACTATTGCAATCGCGATAATGTTAACCTGTATATATGTAATTAGTATTGTGCATTATTTTATATTTCATATTGTATTATCGATTTACCTATATTCCTATAATAATGTAATATATGATACGGCTCAAGGGGGGTGTCATATCTACCAAACACCCCCCTTGTATACGCCACTGTATGGTACCATAGATAATTAAATATTATTGAGCTTGTTATTTATTTAGTCTGAATCATAATCACATTATAAGAAAATACAATATCAAATATTTAAAGTTTTTAAAATTAAGAACTTTAAAGTCATATATAAATGATTGGATATAACCCATTAAGAACAATCAAAATGTGTGGTGGGTATTGCCACACCTCTTATCTTTATTCAATTTATTTTTAACAAAACTTAAAATATAATCTTTGTTTATATATTGGTATAAAATAAAAGCAATTATTATTATTTTTTAATCCTTTAATCTCCTAGAAAGCAAAACGACCATTGAATAAGTTTAATCTTACAACTATTTATTTAGAGTGTTATTAATTATTGTTATTATTAAATACATATTATACAATTCTAAACTTTAACCCAACTTCCAACTCCATAATTATAATCTATAGTGTATATCAAAGAAGGTTAACTATAATTACAAGAGTCAATTTTTTAGAAAATTAATATCTAGCGGGCCAGAGCATAAAAAAAAAGTTATTCAAAATATGAATTTTAATTAGCATTTATATACACGAAAAATAATAAATTCAACACACACGAAAGCACGACAGATTATACGAAGAAATTGCTATAGTTAAATAGTTCCGTGCAAACAGCTATGGTTGAAATCTATGCGTAAACAATGGTGATTCAAAATCTCTAAATGCCTAATATTTTTTTTTTGATATTTTAATTATATAACTATTTTGTATCTTACATAATGCAAATTTATTAAAAATATTCATATCTATGTAAAAAGTTGACGGAAAATAATAAATTATTAATTTTCAATATTTATATAATTATTACTATTTATATATTTTTAAGATCCATTGAGTAACAAGTAAAACTTGATTCAAAATTCTAAAACTTCATCAGAATGGTTTTTATGGTAAATAAAAACTGATGGTAAAGTAAGAAATGTAAAAAAAAATGGCACCCTCGTGTACATACATATGACCATAGATAATAAATGAGTTTATTATCTATGCATATGACATTTAGATATTTAATGATGTTTAATACCAGATAACTATTATATAGATAAGAAAGTATTGACGATAAACGATTAAGAGGCTACACACAAAATATTGAAACCAAAAACAACGTTCATGGGAACACGTTTTATCAGAGCTATAACCACTCTAGGGATTCAAAATGTTTACACAATATAAAAGACAGCTATTTCTGTAGCATAATTTTTTTATTTTTTTATTAAAATAATTAGGAAAAAAGTTATTAAAGTTCAAATATGCATGATATTATATGTTTTTAAAAAAACTTATAAAACGACATTGAGTCAAAATATGATAAAAATAAAAACACTACATAACAGATACAATTCTCCCCAATAAATGGTGAAAATTTCATGAATTTATAATGAATGTAGCCAATGTATTTTAAGTTCGCGTAAAACAGTTTACCATAATAATCGTCATTGATTTGAGCTCTGTTCCCGTTGCTAGCGTTCGTTGGGTGAACTAAAACCCCAACTCGACTGCTGAAACAACTGGTACGGCGATGACGACGCGTCGTCGTTATCGGTGGACAGTGAAATTATATAAATAATAATTATTGCAATTCGAAGAAACAACCAGAACCAGAAATAAGATTATTGATTATCATCAATTGATTATACATATTATTCACACTATTTTATGCCGTCCATTATTTTTTTTGTTTTTCTGATATTCACAAAATATGAAATCACACATAATTCATATATTCCAGAAAATTATAATAAATAATAATATACTTTATACATCAATACTAATTTTTTATTTTTTTTTTAAATACTATACCTACAAGGCAGTAGTTAACTCATATTTTACCGAAGCAAAATTAATAATATGTCAATGTTATCTAAAAATTGGACTAATTGGTTTTCTATTGAAATAATAGTCCAATGCTTAAAAATTTTTACAAGTTATAATCTGCTAACACTACGTGTACAGGTTTCAACACTTATAAGAAAACATAAAAAAAATTGTATTGCTATTGCAATGTATGAACACGCCTTATGAAACCCACGTTTAGTAATAAAATTGTGTATTTTAAAATTTAAAGCGTTAGATAATTTCTTAGCACTTGAAATTACTTTAATTTTGAAACTTTCTATTTGTGATTATAGTTCAAAGGTATCCAAGTCTCAGTGGAGTGCTTATGGTGGGGGGATCAGGGTGTCATATCTCTCCATTGGATTTTTTTGTAATGGTATATTATCTGCACGAAAAAAAAGTAGTCTGTAACAAGTCAAAAATGAATATCTCCCGCTTTTCAAAAAAACTGAGTACGCCACTGCCAAGTCTTGTTAATATTTTAAAACCAAATCGGCAGCACATGAGTTCAATACGGACGATAAGACGGTGTATACACTTTACGTCTTACCATTGATTATAGAATAGATACTATATATAGACATATATATTCTATAATCAAATGTCATACTAAGATTTATGAAGAGTTTAGCTAGTTATCATATTAAATCTATAAAAATTATTTTTTCACTTTCTAAAAATAAACTTTGCTACCCCAAAATATGGATTCTAGTGACGCCCATGATATGTACCTACATATATTGTAAATGTGTTAAAAATATGTTGGCTACACGGAAGTATGGCAGATACTTTGAAATTTTAAAAATTAAAAATATATTGTGTGTAATTAGTTTTATTTTATAATAAAAAGTAATTTTCATAATGATGAACAAAATTATAAAATAATTTACATGGGAGTTTTTGATATGAAACATATATGATTCGCCAGTTGATCGTTACGACTATACCTATATTCATATTATTTATTTTACGTTTATTTAATTTTTTATTTTGGAATAAAAGAGTTGGTTATCATTACAGCGATATATATTATTTGTCTATAAATTCCACATTTCTACAATAAAAGGCAAATGAAAGTTTAATAAATTACTCAGTTCTTGGAAGTGGCTTGATATTTTAGATATTTATAAACTCTGCAATATTATGTCTGTGTCTATACTAAATTTAGCCAATGTGCAATAATTGTTATTCTTATATTTAACATCAATTGTTCACCTCGTATAAGTTAACTGAACTAGTAACATCTATACTTGTTTGTTCAGTAACAGAGAAATTTTTTTTATCGTATACGCGCCTTATATCTGTCTGTCAATTTTCTTATTTATTTGTGCGATGTTAAAAAATATAATGGCACCAAAGAAACAACGAGCCCAGGTACGTAAACCATCTCAGAGGTTACAACAAATATTTTTGTAAAGGATCTCAATCTGGAAATCAAAATTTTGTTTCCATCGCTGAAAACTGTGGTATAATGAGGGAAATTAATATGGCTAATCGACGTTTATTCAACAATGCCCAGAGTCTCTTAAAAAAAGGTTGATAATAATATATGTGAGCAATGTAATAGTATGGTTAACAAATTTATTGGCGGAAAAAAAAAACAAATTTGTCTCAAATAAACACATATAACACAAGAGTAGAGGCAGTTGTTATTACATTTAATTCACAATCGTTTTTATGTACAATTTAAAAATCTATAACTAATGCAAGTCCAGGTAATTTAAAACAAAATAACCACCTAAATATTTATTTTTTAAATTATTTTTATAAATTTCTTAACAAAGTACCTTCCCTTACTATTACACACACACACACACATATATATATATAAAAACAGGAACATTTGGAAAACAGTCTTTATCTGACACTAAAAGGATAAGGGATAATAACACAAAACGAAGAATTTTATTTCCTAAAAATAAAATTAATTTTAAATCTTATGGGCCTGACAAGAATTTAGTTTACCTACCATATATTTTTTATTGGTAAATATGTTGGTGATAAATTCATAAATACATTAAAAATGTAAAATATTATTAATATATTCCAAAGTGTACATAAACATACTGAATAAGATTTTATATATTTATAGTTGAATTATATACAACTATTTAAGTCAATGAACTTGAAAACTAATTTAAGGCTTCCATAATCTAACCATACCATCATCACAATAGGTACACAATAAATTTTGATGAGGATGATGTGTAAGTCCAATAACATCTTTTTCATGTACTTGTAAAGTTTTTTCTAATTTTCCACTGTTTAATGAAAAACAGTATAAATTATGATCTTCAGCAACTGCATATATCCAATCTCCCCTGGGTGAAACGGTTGAACATATAAAATTGCAACCTTCACGTTTCCCACTAGTAAATGATCTAACAATCTGTGGAAAATATTTTATTAAAACAATAATTTTATTTTATATGTAGCAAACTTACTTGGCCTTGCATATTCATTATTACTATTGTATTGGAACGGTTGCAAACAACAAAATGATCCTGATTTTTGGGGAAAAGATGTACATTGTTAACAGCTACATCAGCTGCTCCCATGGATTTAAAAGTATGGGTACATTCTGTGGTTTTCACACTCCATACTTTTACAGTGCTGTCACTAGATGCACTGCACATAATTATAAATAATAAATATTTTTTTAAAATTGTACAATAGTCTACAAAATATTTACCTAATTATACTATGACCATCAACAGTGTATATAACTTCATTAACAAATGATGTATGTCCTCTAAATTCTTTAAGGGTTTTACCAGATTTCAAACCATGAATTCTATTTATTTTAATTACATAAAAATTAACATTATAAAAAAATACACATTTGAATAATAGAATATACATTATTTATAGTTGGGTATTTTACCTTATAGTCATATCAAATGATCCAGTCAATATTTGAGTATTATCTCGAGAAAATTGAACGCAAGTTACCCCCAAGACATGAGCTTTTTCAAATTTTCGCATTACTTGTCCAGTCATAATTTTCCAAACTGTCACTTTTCCACCTTGAGAACCAGACACTAACATTTCACTGTCACGAGAAAAATTTAAACTCAGAACAGCATCGTCCATTAACATAAAATTTTCCTATAGTGAATTATAAATAATTTCAAATAAATCGATACTATAATCTCAGTAAATTAATATTACTTGAGCCTGATATTTAAGATCTTTTCTTATCTTTCCTGTAACAAAATTGTACACTTCAATAAAACCATCAACAGTGGCAGCTACTAGAAATTGGCCATCTGGTGAAAATCTAGAACATTCAACATGAATCTTTTGGACAAATTTAATTTGTTTAAATAATTGAGTCGGGAATGTTTCTTCTTCTAAATCTCGAACTGCTGCTTTACCTCTAAATAAATCAATGGATGTACCTGTCAGCAAATATTCATTTTTTCATTAGACTATAATGCAAATATTTTATTTAATTAATCTGAATTAATTTAAATAAAAGCTAAAAAATAGTCTTTAAATACCTGGAGGTAGGAGACCTTGATGTTGTTGCCATTTTAATGCTTGACCCAAAAGAGCTAGAAGCCTAGATGAAGGTACTACAGATACTTCACCAGCTAATGACTGAGCAATAGCAATTCTACGTTTTTCTTTAGATGTGCCTTCAGGATATGCTTCACGAGGATCAAAATATGAGCGAGCAAGTAAATTTTCTATTAAAAAAAAAAAAAAATACTTGAAAACAATTTTGTATACAATTATACACACAATAATGTATTTATAATTGTATAATATAAATTTACCAAGGTGTATATAACGATCAGGTTCATGTTGTTTTAGTGCAATCATAGGATCTGTTTGACGTAATAGTGATCGAGCAGCACCAAGTTCACGTAATTCAATTAGTTCAAAAACAACCTATTATAAGAAAAAACATATCGATAATTAAATTGTTAAATATATTGTTGCGTAAATTCCTATTTAATTAAAGTAAATAATAAGCAACTAACTTGTTCATATAAATCAATTAATTTACTATCAGGTAATTTCAATGACTGTACTGCTTTTAATACTGTGTCCCAATGACCATTATGAATGTCAGCAACAAACCCATCAATACTGTCTACTGTATTTAAAGATACACTAGTTTCTTCCTGAAAAGAAATTAATATAATTTCAATAATAAATAAATTAAATAGTAATAAAAAAAAATAGTATTAAAAAGTAATATCAAGTAAGTTTAATAAAAAATAATGATATTAAAATAAAAACATAAATTTATGCATTATAGTAATATAGTAAAAATTACTTGAAGGGTTTGGAGTGATTTCAATAGATTTGATTCTTTCAGATATTGTTGTATGAGACGAATGACACTGTAAGCAAATTTCAATTAATAAATTTAAATTTAAAAAATGTGTACGCATATTAATAACTAGGATTACGCACTCTGCAGATTCGATTTCAATAGACATTTTGAAAAATAGATAAAAATATAATATCAAATTAACTGAAGCACTAAACACACAGTCAAATAGTTATAAATTCATAAAATAAAATAAAATTGGCTAAATTACTATATTAATACACTAAACTCTATTGTGTAGGAATTGAGAACGCGTCAAGACGCTACCTTTATATCAAGTATTAACCAATAAAAATTGATAACAATGATAACAATTATAAATACATTCTAAAATACAAACAGATTAATTTGGTGGAGCTTATGTGTAACTACAATTTTGATAGAAGTTTGATAAGAATCCGCATTTTACAACTAAATTTCGCAATCCGATTTTATATTAGTTTTCAATTGATATTCATAAATATTTACTCTAATAAAATGTTATTAACAACTCTGATTTCGTTTGTGTTATGATTTGTATATATGTAATTTCTGAAATTTTTCGCTTTTTAAATTGAGTTGGTAGAGTATAAGTATTGTTGCTTATTACATTAGTGTCAAGGTTTTTCAAATAGTGTATACCTCTTCATACATAAAAAACTCACTTAAAAGTTTACCAGGTAAGTTTTATATGTTTGTTTGAATAATTATTAAAATCTTAACTCCTGTGATTCAATATTGTTTTACTAAAATTTATCTGTTTCATAAGCTAATATAAAATATGTTGAAAAGTTCAAATTTAATTATATAATGCTTTTTGATTTTAGATTGTTCAACAACATTTCAATTATTGATGTGTCATCATCAACACTCTGGTAAGTTAAAATTGCTATTCGTGTTCATTTTTTATTTAAATTCAATATTTATGTACTACACATGTATCACCTAATAATTACTTCCAAACTCACAAGTAACTATTAAAAATATTGGTGTAAAACTTACTTTTTAATGAAATAGATAAAAATTATATGTCCCAGTATAATTATTTATGATTAGTGAAGGGCTACTGGGAAAAACAATAATAGTTAATGTTCCTAAACTGTTTAATATTGCAGTTTTAAAGTTTCAGAAGTCAAATAACTTAGAGATAAAATATGAAATAATTAATATTTAATAAAATGTATAAAAAATAAATTAAATTTACTTTTTAAAACAAACGACAAGATGATATAATTATTAGATTCTTAATTTTTTTACTGTAATATTTTTCTATGTGGCCCTTTAAATGTTATTTGGGATAATTTATTAGTAAAAAAACATCATTATAAGTTAAATTAATCTATAATTATCGCTAGTTTTACGTTTAAAATGAGTATGAAATAACAGTTATATATATATATATATATATATATATATATATATATATGTATTAAGATAATTATGTAAATATATTACACAATAAATATTGTGAATTATCTATTTTGGTACTACATAGCATTAGGGTTCTGTATTTTGAATTTGGTATTACATTTTGTTGCTTACATTTACTTATTGTACTTAATCTCTACATCATACATGGTTTTGTATAAACTATAATATTTTTTTATTTTTGAATTTTAATACTTATTTTCATTCATTAGGTTCGGTTTCAAGGGGGAGCTATGTGATCTAAGTCCGCCTTAGATATTAGGTAGAACCATATCGGACGTGATACTCAAAATATTTAAAAATTAGACATAAGAAAGACTGTACAAATCAATATACGCTTCAAATTATGGCAGTTACTGACTTTTCTAGCCCTTCTTTTTTTCATTTCTAAATCCGCACTTGTGTCACTTACCTAATCTATTTTATATATGTATATACATATTAGTAGTTTTTAGATTTTATTTTATGTATAATCTCATTTATATTTTATGGATGGTTTTGTATTTCTTTAATGTAAAATACTTACAAAACTAAACTGTATCATTAAGTGATCATATTTTCAGGGTTTACTTCAGGGTAAAACCGATTCATATATATATACCACTGCCCACAGACTGTGGCAACTGGCAATCACCTCCTCAAAATTTTTTCAAATTAAAAAATTATGCGTTTATATTAGGTACCTTTATTATAAATTGTATATTTATGGTGTTTTATTTTAAATTATAACTTACTTCTTACTCCTGTAGCAAAGTCCATTTATACATTTAAAAAATACATACATATTTTGTTAACTTCGACTTTGATGCTGATATTTATTATAAAGAAATAAGAACCATTTACGTTATATCTAATACAAATATATAATAAACAGCATAATTCTAAAAACATAAGTGGTTATTTAAATTTATTACAAAAATCATAAGAATCGTAAGACAATGAATTTTTATAAAAACATTTAAATTGTCACTGAAAGATAAATCTGATTATAAAATGTAACATAAAAATAATAAATACATCAATACTATCAATATATATTAAAATAGATATTATAGTATATTATAAGTGTTTTCTTAAATTAAATGTTTGGTCAAGGTTGAACTTAAGCCAGCAAATATATCAGTCACTTCTTCATTAATTATAATGTCAGACTCGCGAGTTATGAACATTAAATCTTATAATCAATCTTGTGAAATTGTTGTATATAAACTGTTTTTAACAATTCTCAATTTCGAAAAGGTCCTTTTTGGAGTAATACTGGAAACAGGCAATGTACATGCTATTTTCAATGCTAAATATAAAGTAGGAAATATGGCCCAGACACGCAGTGACGGTGATAGAGTTTTCGAGGCCCTGAATAAAATAAATTTTGAGTCTTATAATTTCTATTAATAAAATATTTTACGTTCAGTTAAATCAGGACCGCAAAGCCTTAACTTTAATTTAAGGCGTGGGGCCCTGGGCAACTGCCCCTATTGCCCTTCCCTCGCGCCGTCTCTGTAGACACGTAACAATCATAAAATGTTGAAATATTTTAAGTAAACTTCCTATATTTTTTTATTTATTATTTCCCATATCAGACTATGTTGTTTTTTTTCATCATTCATATCAGTTTCCTCAACATGCACTTTATGTATAAATTTGAAATTTTCACTCATTGCGTCCTCAAATTGAAAATATAATCATAATATAATAAAACTGTTTTGAATAACCTTGATAAAGATAACCATTTCAGTTATTTCAATTCTTTTCAGTCTTTCATGAGGATTTTTCACAATAATTCTAAATTATCAAACATATTAACTGCATCTCCGGAACTACTAGCAACTACTACAACAAGATTCAGACAATTTCCATAATACTAAATGTAAATCGCTGAAAGATATTCTTGTCTTACTAATGCTTGTAATCCTTTATATGAGTTTTTTGTTTTGCTAGTCCCATCATAACATCTTCCAATCCAAATTATTTTGAAAGCAAATATCTCGAAAAACTGAAAAAAGTTATTTATCAGTAGTTAAAGATGACTTTAAGCGATAAGTCATTCATGTATGACAGTAATTTTTTAATTCAACATAGGTATTTAACATATAATAAATGCTAATTGCTAATGTCTCTATGTATCAAATGTGGTATCACTAAAGTGATACCTTGGAAATACTAAAATATTTTGATTCATTTATTTCTTTAATTATTGTTTTCTTTATACAATTAACAAAAGAATTTATGAAATTATTTTGATCAAGAGATAAAATTGGTTTCATTCCTACCTCGAGACTTTAGCCGATCCATATATATAACCAACAAAGGTGAAACTGCTCAAAAGGATTTTTAAAATTACCTCTTATATTTTCTCTCCAATTTTTACGATGTCCTTTAAATGCTAAAGAATGTTTTCCCAGAAATAATGTTATTTCAATTAAAGATTTCACAAATAACTCGGTTTTCAGCAACTTCTCTTATGCTCGTATATTTTTGGAAGAACTAGAATTATTGATTTTTAGTTTAACAATAATAGCTAAATTTATTTGTGATTTAGTTTTTTCACGTAAAGCCGTGTAAAGTCTTTTATTCTTTGCCATGCACGAAATTATTCAATTGTCCTAGCCTTTTGAATATTTTTTTACCAAAAAGCATAAAATAAATGCAGTACAATCTACAAATATTATATTGTTGGCTATTTTTGGAACAAAATGTCAATTATCTGATTTCGACGGTTATATCGTCACCCGTCGCTTGACGGGGGCAAATCATCGTTGAAACTCCTTACTCGTTAGCCGCTGTAAATGATATAATAGGACTTCCGATGAATTTTCATTTCTTCCACTAGTCATAGATTAAATGTATGTATGGGCGTATAAAATGACATAAAAAACATATAGACAATATACATTATTAAAATAATAAATAATATAACATATGACACATGTATAAAATTACTTGTCCTGGGTGATTCATCCTTGCCTAGCTGGAACCGCTGAAACTACGAGTAATAAAATTTGGACAGTAGTTTCCTTTTAAGATGTAGAAACCCACTATGAAAGGATTTGTCAAAATTCAACCCCCAAAAGAGTTAAAAGTTGTTAAATATTGGAAATGTAATTTTTTGGCCTTATTGTCAAAAAGAGGGTTGTATAGGGTTTAATTCGAGCCTTTTCCGCTAAAGCTACTTACATTGTTAATACGTCAAGTATGATCATGACTAACATAGCCTTATAATATAGAGTAAGTTATAATTAAATAGGTTACATTTTATTTCAAAATTTCTCCGATTATAATTTTATTTTACAATTTGTATTCGAAATAATAAAATACACTACATTTTTGACAATTTCTGGTTGTTACAATACACGGACAAGACATCTAAAAACAAATTTTATTACAAAAACCGGTAAAAAAAAAATAAAATAATGTGTAACAAAAAAAAACTGCACACGGGTTTATTATAAAAATAATCTTAGTATTATTAACTTGATATGTGTAATAATTTATAACTTTAAAATAAATTTTATATAATAATGGTCAGGGGCGTATTAATGGGTGGTGAAGAGGGGGCCCGGGCCCTCGAAATGAAAAACACCATTGTTAAAGATTGTAATTTTTAACATGGATATGTCTTAATGCTGGGGTTTCCGAAAATTTGTCGCGACACTAAGAATGTTGCTTATGCGATAATTTAAAATTGTATATTTATAAAATATGTTTATTCTTTTAAGAAAATATGTGGTGAATTTTGAGTGACTCTAATAAAAAAATTGTTTATTACAATTTAGTTTTTATACTTTTAAAAAATTATAAATCATTAAAAAAGTCGAGTTTCTTATTTCTCTGATGGTATAAAAACAGTTGAGAAGTCTTATAGTGTTAAAGTAATT